TCATTGCCATCTACGATGACAACCATATCTCCATCGGTAAGCAATCAAGCCTCTTGACTTTCTTTGCGCAGGTCTTACTAAACGATTGTTCTCATTGAATAGACGGTGACACCAAGTGTGCTTTCACTGAGGATGTTATGAAGCGTTTCGAGTCCTACGGCTGGCACCACGTCTGGGTCAAGGACGGTGACAACGACCTTGAGGCCATTGAGAAGGCCATCCAGGAGTGCCGTGAGGTCAAGGACAAGCCCTCCGTCATCCGTCTTACCACCACCATCGGTTTCGGTTCCAAGCTGCAGGGCACCGGTGGCGTTCACGGTAACCCCCTGAAGGCTGACGATGCCGAGAGTGTCAAGGCCAAGTTCGGCTTCGACCCCAAGCAGAGCTTCGTCGTCCCCCAGCAGGTCTACGACCTCTACCACAAGACCTCTTCTCAGGGTGCTGCTAAGGAGCAGGAGTGGAACCAGCTCTTTGAGAAGTACGCCGCCGAGTACAAGGATGAGCACGCTGACCTCACTCGTCGTCTCGCTGGTAAGCTTCCTGAGGGTTGGGAGAAGAGCCTGCCCACCTACAAGCCCACCGACTCCGCTGTCGCCTCCCGTAAGCTCTCCGAGGCCGTCCTGGAGAAGGTCCACAGTGTCATCCCTGAGCTGCTTTCCGGCTCTGCTGATCTGACTGGCTCCAACAACACCCGCTGGAAGAACGCCGTTGACTTCCAGCCCCCTGAGTACAACATTGGTGACTGGTCCGGCCGCTACCTCCGCTACGGTGTCCGTGAGCACGCCATGGCTGCTATCATGAACGGTCTTGCCGCCTATGGTACCGTCATCCCCGCCGCCGGTACTTTCCTGAACTTCGTCTCTTACGCTGCCGGTGCCGTCCGTCTGTCTGCTCTCTCCCGCGTTCGCGTCATCCACGTCGCTACCCACGACTCCATCGGTCTGGGTGAGGACGGTCCTACTCACCAGCCTATTGAGACCCTGGCTCACTTCCGTGCTCTCCCCAACTGCATGGTCTGGCGTCCCGCCGACGGCAACGAGACCAGCGCTGCCTACTACTCTGCTCTCACCTCCAAGCACACCCCCAGCATTCTGGCCCTTACCCGCCAGAACCTGCCCCAGCTTGAGAACTCCAGCATTGAGGCTGCTCTGAAGGGTGCTTACGTCGCCATCGAGGCCCCCAACGCTACCGTCACCATCATCTCCACCGGTTCCGAGGTCAGCATCGCCATCGAGGCTGCCACTTACCTCAAGGAGAAGCACAACGTTGTTGCCCGTGTCGTCTCCGTTCCTTGCTTCGAGGTCTTCGATGCTCAGGACAAGGAGTACAAGCTCAAGGTCCTCCCCGACGGCATCCCCGTCCTCTCCGTCGAGGCTGCCTCCACCATGGGCTGGGAGCGTTACGCTCACGAGCAGTTCGGTCTCAACCGCTTCGGTGCCTCCGGCCCTTACAAGCAGGTCTACGAGGTACGTTATCTGTTCCAAATCCTATCGTATCTTGTTAAATTGATGCTAACTTTGCTGTCCTACAGAAATTCGAGTTTACCCCTGCCGGTATCAGCAAGCGCGCCCTCGCTACCATCGACTTCTACAAGGGCCACACCGTGCGCTCTCCCATCAACCGTGCTTTCCAGCAGATTCTGTAGATGTCCTTTGTTAGCGTGATGATGCCTGTTATATTTCGTTTTAATGAATCTATGGGACGATGTTGATCTCTGGGAGCAAAATATCCAGGGAGAAGTCCTATGCTTTGATGATTTCGTTTGAAAATTCCCTTTTGGTAGATTTAGAGGGACGAGGCCAAAAATGAATAATACCATGTTTATGTTCAAGTTCAGTTGATCCTAAGCGTAATACGTAGCAGTTCAAGTAAAAAAAAAAAAAAAGACTTAGATGACAAATAGCGTTACGTCTATTAGAGGAGACCTGAAGACAAGCACGCTACTTGATACGAAAATACTTTTTATCCTTTCTTGTTGTATGCCACGGACAATGCTGCCGTCTCTGTAGAACACGAGTAGGACATCATCACAAAGGAGAGGAAATGTAATAAAGACAAAGAAGAACAAAGAGAAATAACTCTTGTTGTATTCATCATCATCAAATCATCATCGATTATCCGCCACGATGGCGCCTCTAGATGGGAAACAGCGTCCGCCCCAAGCAGATTTCATTCAAAAGGGTGCAAAGGACCAATATCAATTTAGTTGTTCAAGGCCTTACGGGCAAAGTTGGGGAGAACGAAGCTAGCCCGGTGGATATCCTGGTTGTAGTAGCGGCAGAGACGCTCCTCCTCCTCGCGAGTCCACTTGCGGACGGGCTCACGCACGTTGCGTTCGGCGTCCTTGCAGCAGACCATGAAGCCAATCTGGCCGGAGGGGTAGGTGGGGATGGTGGTGTAGGCGTATTCGGCGACGGGGAAGACGTCATTGCAGGCCTTCTTGAGGTCGGTGATCAGAGAAAGGTGCAACCACTGGTTCTCGGCTGCAAGTGTGAAAATGCTAACCCAAACCGATTCCCGGGGGAGTCGGGTGGTTTGGGGCGTAATCTAATTAGTTTCATGCTTCTCTGATTCATTTAAGGGTGGTCAACATGGAAAAGGGCAGGGAGCAATTGCGGGGAAAGGGTAGTACAAAGGAACAACAACAGAAAGGAGAGAAAGACGCGGGGAGAGATAGAAGAAAGAAAAGAAAAGGGGGGGGGGGGGGGGGGAGAGAGAGAAAGAAAGAAGTTTCGGGTAGCCACAGGAAGAAGACAGGGGGAAGGAAAGGCGACGAACAACCTTGTGTGGTGATGACACCTCCCTCACGGAGCGCATCGCGCAGGAGCTCAAAGTAGGGCTTCTGGAAGAGGCTCTCAGCAGGACCCTCAGGATCGGAGCTGTCAGTGATAATGACGTCGAACTCGTTCTTGTGGTTCTTGAGGAACTCGAAGCCATCGCCGACGTGGGTCTTGACGTTAGGGTGCTGGAAGCCGATGCTCATGCCGGGGAGGTACTTTTTAGAGAGACGGATGACAGCCTGGGAAAACAAAATTAGTTCAAGGTTACCCGGGAATGAATCCAGGGCTGTATACCTCATCAATATCGCACAGGATGGCCTCCTCGACGGTCTCGTGCTTGACAACCTCACGGAGGACACCGCCATCTCCACCACCGATGACCAGGACCTTCTTGGGGTTGGGGTGAGAGTTCATGGCCAGGTGGGTGATCATCTCCTGGTAGCTGTGTTTAATTAGCCGATGTGCCTCGCAGCCCGTGGGGGTAGAGTTTGGACCAAGGCGACGTACGAGAACTCATCCCGCTCAGTGCACTGGATGACATTGTCCAGGACGAGGACAGTACCGTAGTCGCTGCTCTCGAAGATGAGGACATCCTGGTAGTCGGACTTCTCATGGTGCAGGATCTGGTTGACCTTGAGGCTCATGGCCTGACCAGGCCACATGTCGGACCTCTCGGAGAACCAGCCATCTGGGCAAGAAAAGTGATGTTAGCGAAGGCATGCCAAACTTTAAAAGGGGTCACATTGGCTATGCGACGCAATTGAAACGCTCATTCGATTCAATCCGAGATTTGACCACCGTCGAGGGGGTTGTTTAAGCCATTGAGACGTGCAGATTGGTGGGTGATGAGGCGGGGTATCTTTTTGATTGATGGAGGGGCAGATCAAGAAGAAAGATACGTACCCTGGATAGTGGGGTGAGTGATCTCGGACATGGTGATGGAACGGGAGAAGTGCGAATGAAAAAGAGTATGAGAAGCACGAGAAGGTAAACGTCGAGAGAGAGAAGAAGAGAAGGAGGAGAAGAGGAGAGAAGAAAGAGAAAGCGAAGAAGATGCGCGTGCCAAGTGGGGGTTCATCGATATGCGTATTTTGGGTATCGACCGTGGTGTAAAAATAGTGTATTGGGGTTACATCCGTAATTTTGAGAAATTTTTCCCTCTCTTTTCCCGTTTTGGGGTGGGGATTTAGGCTCTGTTTACAGAAAGTACTCTCAACCCCCATAGAAGTCTTTTTCTTTGAGAAATAGACAAGGTAATTGATGGGTCAATTGAGCTACCGCGTCCATTCAGAAAGCACACTAGCCCTTTCCCAAGGACTCAATTGAGCGTAGTCATTGGTCCATCCTAAGAATGAAGTAAGAACAAACTGTTAGCGGTCCCATCCTATCTTACCCTAAAAGGGAAAAACTATCGCCGAAGACGATCCAGGGTCAGTATGCAGGAACTAAACATCCTTGTTTAGAAGTTATATGGCTAACGATTGGAGCTGGAAGTTGTTTCCTCAAAGTGTATGTTAGACTGACATTACTGTCAGAGTCATCAGTGTTAAATCGCTGGGATTGTGTTTCTATATTGTCTGGAAGTCAACTCATCAGCTCCTTTGCTTTAAGAAGTGGGGAGATACGTTGGACGATATGGTAGATGTACTACTAGTAGCTGTGTTTAGATTCTGGATTAGTATACTTGACCATCTTCAACTTGTTCTTGCGAAGAGACGGTCTCCCTCTTTACCATTTCCCTGTTCTTGTTCCTTGTATACAATCTCTTGATGTAGTGTCTGGGGATGGGGGTATATCCATCTATCTATCCACTGATATAGCCTTACCTGTCTAGGTTATACTTAGTATACATACACCCCATGAACATTGACAAGGAGTTGTTTACCTTATCCTTATAATACTTTCTTTGACGATTGACATTGACATTGCTTAAACATGTTCCCTACCTGATATCATCAGGCAACAAAAAGCCACCAAAACATGACAAACATCTCAATTTTCTCAATGTGCATATGTTTACTTGATAATCTGTGTGAATGCAGTCCATCTAGTCACTGTCAGTGTAACCCCAGAAACGTATTTACTACCCCAACTCAGTCACACCAAGAGCCTTAACCCCACAAAAATACATTCAGCCACCCGTCTAAAACACACGCACTCACACCTATGTTCATCAAAGAGCACGCTTTTAAGTACAAAAGCCACGCACAAGGTTACAAAATGAGTAACTTGTCAACAGGCTCGTCAACGATCCTAGCAGATCAACATGCATCTGAAGTTCTTCGGCTATTCCGCGCAAAACATGAGACTTTCTACAAGAATGGTGTGGAAAGCGCAGTCTGCCATTCAGCGTCTCAAACGGGTACGTAAGTTCCACAGGGAAGGGTATAGATGCTCACTAACAAGAGAAATCCTCAGATATGACCCACTTCAGCCAGACCGCAGTCGAGCTCCTAGCCACCTTGATATCACTGCCAGAATCCATCAAGCTTAATGTCAGAGAAGGCCTCGTGGCATGGATGACAGACATTGTAGAGGAAAGATGCTCACCCACGACAGTGGCGCCGTTCCTCAAAACCCTGGTTGGGGCAAAGAAGGTCAGAAACAAGGGCGTCGACAGTTTTGACATCTGGAAGGCAGTGAACACATACTTTGGGAATAGCGATACCAAGATCATCTTCCCCTTCCTGTCACTCCCCTTTGAGCTCCGCCTGATTATCTACGACAACTACTTCGAGCTCGAGACAACCAACGCCAGCAAAAAGCTGATAGATCATGTAGTTCCCCGTGGCGAAAACAGACTTTCTCTAATGAGTGCCAACCATCAGATCTATTTCGAAGCTCGCAAGGTTCTCTATACGAACTTCGCGTTCGGGCTGAAGGGTGTGCCTCATCTGCGACAGTTCTTTAACAGTCTTAGAGGCTATAGCTACCAGATTATCCGCAAGTTGCAGATTGAAGATATTTCTACTGAGCATGTGAATACACTTGCGCAAGTATTATCTGGCCATGGTTTGTCGGGCGTCCGATCTCTGAAGTTGATGGCAACGTCGCGTTATATGGGTCCAGCGTCTCTGAGGGCCCAAGTCGGAAGATCTAGGAAACGTCCAGTGTACCCAGTATTTAAGAAGAAGTTGCGCTTAGCGGTGGACAAGTTGTTTTATCGCAGTGGCGTTTCTGTTCCTAAGCCGCCAACACTTATCTTGGTTGATTTCCTTAAGGATCCGAGATGGGATGTCGGATTTCCTAAGTTTTGGGCAGTCACGGTTACTTGGAAGGAGTAGTCGGTAGTGCTGGAGTGATATATTGAGAGTCAGTAGGTTTGTCCGACATCCTGTTGGCATAGCAGCAATAGGTGTTTTGAGGACAGGTTATTTGGATGGTCGAGAATGACAGTGTACCTTTTGAAAGCAATTTCATTACTTCCTATCGTAATCCGACAGCCTCAGATGGAACGAAGAAAAAAAAAGCATATTATTCATTAGTGTGTTGGCACAACTTACGTGTAACGCTAACCTACAAAAAAAAATCACGATCTAGCACTCAATGCCTGATTTAACTAACACTATTTTCATGTAGCAGAAGAGCCAGTAACTGGTAAACCAAGATAGGCACGGCAATCATCTCGACTTGTCGAAATTTCCCTTTTCCCACATCTCATCATCCATCCCCCCCAGCGCGGTCACCGTTCGTTGTTGAACCTGATTGAGCTGTTCGGACGGCGTCCCTTTCATATGCTTATGCTCAGGACCAAAAACCAACGCTAAAAGACCTTCGAGAAGTATGATGGCGCTAAGATTAGATGAGCTTAGCAAAGCATCAAATATGGCTGTGACCGCGCCAGGATGATTACCTGCATTGGTTGTTCCCAGAACTCTGGCATCCCCTTCTTTGAACGGGAACGGCGTTCTGCCAGAGCACTCTCGTGAATCAAGTGCCATAAAGGAGGGGCCTGTCAAGCTGCCTATCAATGCACCGATGTGCTCACGCTCCTCATATCTGAGGCGAATGAGCGCTACTGCTGCAGCCCATCGAATAAAGGAACGTGCATCAGTCTAGTAGCTGCGTAAACGAGAGACAAATTTCCTCCGGCCGAGCATCATCATCAAAGTGCCAATTTAACAAATCGAGTGAGGTAATGGCGCTGGCAAGAACAATAGTTTCTTTCTCCTGTTCAAGGACCCGTTTCAAGACACGAAAACTGTCACGATACCCGTCGCCAGAAGCTTCCCAGGAAATTACACAAGCGCATAGGCAGCCCAGGGCCTTTAATAGACATTGCGACGCTCGAGACAAGTCTCAGCTTTGTACGCTGCAAGCTCAACCTTAGAGCGCCTAAAGTACTTTTCGATCATCCTATTGCGGAACTCGATGCACGAGACTCTTTCCTCGTGATTCTTTGCCCGATCGACGAAGCTTTTATACGACTGGCGATTTCCACTTCAAACTCCGGAGCCTGCTCTTCTCCGTATATTCCCGCCATTTGGTAGGAACGTATCCGCATAACCCCAGGCCAAGTATAGCAGGTAGTCAATTAAAAGACCCGGTTAGTAGTGGAAGGGGACTCAAGACTTTTCAATAAATTAGGGACTGCTAGGCAGTGGCTACATCACGATCACATTGATGGAATATATTGCCTCAGAAGGATTGCTGGGCATCCTCTCATTGGACAGAGGGAGCCCCAATCAATGGAATCGTGAAGGCCGAGGGGACTAGTTTCTGTCATTCTGATGTATCTCTAAGGGCCAGCAGAGCATTTAACACTTCAATTGCGAGAGTCATCATCTGCGGACAAACGTGTGGTTAGATAAGAGGCTGAGGAAAAACAACAGGTGGTGTGTCTCAGTTCTACCTAAGAGTCACATCGTGCCCAACAGTAGGCTTGCTTTTCTTCATTTCCTCTGACTCGTGAAGCTGCTCGTATGTAGTGATTGACAAACATTCAATGTGAAGGGGTAGTCGGTATACTCCCTAAGCATCCAATCACAGAATAATATTGGACCTTTCGCAGGACCAGAATCCCCAGCTCATCATACAGACAGAATTGATGTCTTTTTGGTTTATAATTCTCACTGAAGCAGCCTGTATTTAATTATGCATGAAACCTTGCTTTTGTTAAAAAAAAAAAAAAAAAAAAAAGAAAGAAAAGAAAAGAAAAAAAAGAAAGAGCTTTCATTGTGAAGTTAGTACGGAGTAGCGGTATACTACGCAGTATACACACGTTCAAAGTGGTAATCCCATGCCCTGGTGATATCGACCGCCTTCCTATATCAGCCTAAGCAAAGCGCTGTTTGCAGTCTGGGTGAACTGGCCAATCATGACCTGTGGATCCTATGCCAAATTCAAGTCATTTGATTGGAGCTTCTCCCAAATCCAATGCCAACAACCTGCCCACATAGAAACATCTTATCGAGCTACCAGACGGTAAATAACTCGTTTTTTGATTTCTCGTTACTAGTGTGAGCATAAATATAGCATTCTTATCTGATCTGAGGCGCGAGGAGCAGATCCACGACACCGAATTATAGTCGCAGGAGTCATACGCATCGTAGCATAATAGAACCCAAGAAGCATGGATCGGACAATGGAACACGCATCGCATTCGATTGCTTCTAGTTACTGTACATTGCAATCCCACTCCTTGATCCTCCAGTTTGAAATCATATCACCGGTTTATATCACCATTTACTCGTCACCACCCTCAGCAAGGCGGCCAGGCTTGGAGTTGAGGTAGTGGTTCCTAAACGCCGCAAGTTAGTCACTAATTACCCACCATCGATGGCCGACTGTGAATTGACAGGGGTATCAGCACGTACCTCTCAATAGCCCAGTCCATGGCGGCGTAGGCGATGATGAAAGGAGGAGCGACGTAGAGAACCTGGTGCCTGAATCTCCGGAAGGTATTGAAGAAAGCAGCGTGGGCGGTACCGGCCAAGGGGCGCTGACGGTTGGGAGACAGAGAGTAAGAGGCGATGCGCTGGGGGGTAGGGCAACCTAAAAAAGGATATGGGTATCAGTATCGGTGTCGGATGAAGATGCCATCTCGCGTCTCTCTGCTGACAAGTCCGCAATCATTGGAATTCATATTTTGAATTTTCGAGATTTGTGTACTGAAAGGCGTCCAATTGATCGTGCTTGTGCTCTTCGAGATGGCGCGAAATTTCTCACTGGATGCGAGGGCTGTGGAACCTACCGAAGTCACCCCAGGTACCAAGGAAACTGTTCAGATCCTATCGTTAGCCACTTCTATCTTCATTATACCCCATATGGCATCAGATAAAGAGTCATCCTGGCGTGAATTGCAAAACACAGGCCGGCGTAGTTGAACCGCACCCGTCCGGAAGACCTAGGGAACGAAAGCCCACCACGGCACCAAATGCAGGGACTACTTACACTCCGTTCTTAGGATCCAAGTGGCCACCCATTTTGAAAGATTGCGTCTGAAATTAAACGATTGGAAATGCGGAGAAGGTGGAACGGACGAGACTAAGGGCAAAGAGAAAGACGAGGTTCGAGTTCGGGCCAAAACGGCGAGTTGGGAAGATGAGGTTTCCGTCCGGCACTAGTCCGCATCGGGACAGCATGGGAAAAGCCCGACATCATCAAGTTGATCCAACCCTTTGAAGCTCCTCATCGACTAATCATTAGTGAACAATCCCCCTCTCACCATGGCGGCAAACGGTCTCTACAACATCTACCGTCTGGCTCTTCCCGTCGCCACGGGTGCCCTGATCTTCAACAACTCTATTTATGACGTTCGTGGTGGTTCCCGCGCTGTCATCTTCGACAGGTTGTCTGGTGTGCAGGAGAAGGTCGTCAACGAAGGCACCCATTTCCTTATCCCCTGGCTGCAGAAGGCGATCGTCTACGATGTTCGGACCAAGCCCCGTAACATCTCTACCACAACCGGAAGTAAGGATTTGCAGATGGTCAGCTTGACACTGCGTGTTCTCCACCGTCCTGAGGTCCCGAAGCTGCCGGCCATCTACCAGGTAAAACACATATTCCCAAGAGATTGATATGATTCTTGGCCGGTATTGATCACTCTTTAGTCTTACGGTACCGACTACGATGAGCGTGTTCTCCCCTCCATCGGTAACGAAGTCCTCAAAGCCATCGTCGCACAGTTCGACGCCGCCGAGCTCATTACCCAGCGTGAAGCTGTCTCGAACCGTATCCGCACAGATCTCATGAAGCGTGCAGCACAGTTCAATATTGCCCTGGAGGATGTCTCGATTACGCACATGACCTTCGGAAAGGAATTCACCCGCGCCGTAGAGCAGAAGCAGATCGCCCAGCAGGACGCCGAACGGGCCCGTTTCATCGTCGAGAGAGCCGAGCAGGAACGCCAGGCCAACGTTATCCGTGCGGAGGGTGAAGCTGAGAGTGCCGATATCATCAGCAAAGCCGTCGCCAAGGCCGGTAGCGGTCTTATCGAGATCCGTCGTATTGATGCCAGCAAGGAAATTGCACACACACTATCGACTAACCCGAATGTCACATATCTCCCTGGTAATGATGGCAAGGAAGGTGGTAAGAACACCAGCCTTCTTCTGGGGCTGAGGAGCTAAACGCGGTATCTGGGTGTCGTTAATTTTCCGATATATTTTTCCTTCCACTCTCGCCTGAATTGATGTTGTATTTTTGAACCTTTTCAACTGGACGGATCTATCTGGGCGTGCATGATCTCCCCTGGCGAATGATGTTGTATGGCTGGCTTCACTTTTCCTTTTACTCTTTACCCATTTCGACCAACTTGTAGCAATAGCATATCCATTCCTCTCTACATATACTCCAAGTTACTTGGACGGGGCTGCTTGCATTAGATGACGGTAATGGTATCATTCTGTGAATCAAGCAATCCTAATCTCACAATGACCTATCCTCTATTGCTATTCCCTCAAAACGTTCATATATTCCCTCCACTAATTAGCCAACCTCCGATAAATATGAACCTGATACCGCATATCCTCCAACCCAGCCCCTTCACCAACATCATACCCCAGCCTAGCCGCATCTCTCCTCCACCACCGTGAATCCTGCGAATAGATCCGTTCCCATTTTCCCTCCGCAACAGAAAGAAGCGTATGATCCAAGAGGAACTTCATAGGATACTGGCGTTCCTGTACAGTGGCAGACGCAGCACCTTCCTGCGCTTTACCCTTGCCGAGTTTCAGCGTAGAATAGCTTCCCGGACTATCCACCACAAGAAGCAGAGTCCCCGGTCGTACGAGGTCCGTCGTGCGGAGCAAGAAAGCAGTGGCTTTCGCCATAGACGTAGAAAAGAGTTCATTCAACGTGAACATAAGCGTCACCATGACGGTAGTACTGCCCTTATCCGAATTCTCAAGGTGGAGAAGATCCTTAAGTTGCTCTTCCGAGATAGAAAGAACATCCGAGCGTCTGAACCTAACCGCGAAGCCAGCGGCATCCTCACCCTCTTTCTCACCAGCGCCACCACCCTTTCCAAGATTCAACAAAGGCGCCGGATGGGACTTCGACCCCATCACAGCCGGGGATCGGATAGTATAAGACAATCGATCAACAACGCTCGACCAGTCCGCAATATCAACAGCAGTTACCGAAAGAGCAGGATGAGTTATCGATTCTGGCACAGAGCCCTGATCAGCAGCAGCAGCATGTTCACCCCCATCCAAGGAAACACTAGTAACACCAGCAGAAAGAGCCTCCCCCTTCTCAACTTCATCCACTAAATCCCTCCAAGCAGCCGCCAGAGCAACGATCTCGGCGCCTGCGCCACCTCCAATACAAACAACATGATTCGACCCAGTAGAAGACACCAACCCACCGTCCTGTTGCATCAGAACCTTCAACAAAGACCTGAAAACCCCCGCATACCCCAACGCCCTAGATGCGCTCCACCGCAACGCATAAGCTCTCAGCAGATCCTCATTTGCATCGGTAAAGGCAGAGTCAAAGTCCCGATTGTAAAGATGAGATTTGATAGTCTGGATCAGCGTCTTGATATCCAACTGTCGAGACTCTGGGGTAGTAGGAACATCTCCACTCTTGTTTTTCCCGACATTGGCATTCCCACCATACACATCATTCAGCAAAGCCGACCTGAACACATTCAAAAGTAACTGCTGCAGCGTGACCGGAATAGTAGCCGAGAGATCGATCTGGTTGGTCTCCTCGGATTCCGTCTGTGGTTTAACCTGTCGTCGAGGGGCCTGCGCGGGCTTCTTTTTCTCCTTCTTGATGTCGCGGGTGTGTTGACCTTGAGAGGACTTTTTGGGCATGGTTGAGCGCGGTGGTCCCATTGTGTCTTTTCTTATGTCTCTCCTTTTATTTGAATGTCTTGATGTAGGGACCGTTGATGGCGCTGCTGGAGAAATTGTATTTTTTGGGTTCAGCTGTGGGGCACCGATAAAGATTTATATAAAAGTCGTGAGGAGAGTTGCGGAAGACTTCTGGGGACAATGTATGAGAATTTAGATTATCTTATTTTCTTTCTGGTATTAGAGAGATTTGATTTAGATGGACCGTCTTGACTTGTTGACTGTACTTTGGTTCAGTGCTGCAGTTCAGTCACTTTTTTATTACTTGTGCCTGAGATGTAAGGCAACAACAAATTTGAGCTACAACTCTTGAGTGATCGAATCTAGTTATTTTGACTAAACAGGCAGTTTCTCTTCACTATCCCAGAATGTCAGAATGGTGTGCCTACTGGAATGATAGGCTATATCAAACCAGCGGCGCGTTTACATTTGAGACCAATCCTAAGATGTCTACAGTTAATGATACTTTGTACCATGCAGTCAAATGCTGGAAATAGCACATAGTAGTATTGACAGAGAGTGTAGATTTGATACTCTATTCATAGCTTCCAGCTCATAGACTCGGATGCCAATAATCAGAAAGCCTCACAGTATATTGACCGGCGCCTCCAACGGTTAGCCGTTCAAATAAGAAAGATGGAAAGAAAAGATCCCATATTAACATGGCCAAGGGCGTGAATACCACGTGGGTCAAACAAAAGACGAGAAGGCAAAGTACACATCATATGACCGCCAAAATGATTCAGAAGGCAATAAAGATATGAAGAAAAAAAAAAAAAGGCTCTGAACGATAAACGAAAGACAATCAAGAGAATGATATGTCCATAAATTGTAACCGGACATTTAATGAAAGACGAGAAATGATGTAAAGAGAGTATTGAACTCTTACGCTTGTGAACACATATCAAAAGAGATTCGTCAGTCAGCCCAACGGAACAACTGGGCAGACTGGAGAAAATAGAAAAAATAAATAAATAAAAGGGCGAGGCCAATAGAAACAACAAACGATCTTCCAAAGACCACGTCGAGGGAATCATATCAGAATAACTATATACAAGAAGCGGATTCTGTAGGATCGAGGTTTTGGTCATGACAGCTGTTCTTCCGGGACTGCACTCTCATTCAGTTTGTCCTTGTCCTTTGTCTTCCAAAAGTGCATCAAGCGGCTGATCCGGTGGCTCTTCTTTTTCGCTTTGTCCGGTTCATCGATCGGCGGCTTTTCCTCGTAACTTAGCTTACTCCTTTCCGCATGAGACCCCACAACCAACTTGGAAAGGCTGGCCAGACTTGATCGCTTCGAACTATTAGCCTGGCTACTGCGCCTGTGAACGGCCGCAGAAAATGACGCAGAGCGATCTGTAGACAGCCGTGGCCGCGGAAAGAAGGTCGCCGAGAATCGGTTTAGAGGATTCGTCGTTGTCGATGCACTGCTAGTCAACGAAGGCACATCTTCAACAGATGCATGGGGGAAGTCCATAGAAGGGTTGTAAGAAGGACTCGAAAAATTACGGTCGGTGGTGGAGGACGTCGTGATCGAGCGAGGGGCATCAGATGAAGAGCCAGTGAAGTCGGGAGATGGAAAGGAGGAGTTAGACAAAGAACTGCCGCCCTGAAGAGAGAAAGGAGGTATATTTGGGGTGAGTTCAATGGGTGAAGTGGAAGGCCTATTGTCAGCCGGTAGAAATCGTGGAGAAACATCGGGACTAGGAGGGACTCCCAGTCTGCGTTGCCAAAGCTCCTGTTTGATTATCTCCGCTGGTCCTGGGCTCTTCGGCCGAATGCTGAAAGGATTTTTTGCATTATGAAGCTGGCCAATTGCACACTGTTGTGCTACGAGACTGCTGCGATCCTGATATGTAGAGATAGTGTTAGGCTCCGACGTTTCAGGCAGCCCGTCTTTCTGAATGCCGAGACCCGACTGCTGTGTATTGATTTCGCTCGTGTGTTCCCCAGTGAGGGTGTCCGAGCTAACTTTGCTACCCTCCGATTGGAGGTCGACACTTTCAGCACGGAAGGCAACAGCCTGTGCCGGAATATTTTCATCGCTGTGCTTGGGAGATTCACTGGTGGCTGCCAGAAAAGCGTCCTCCTCTTCTTCGTAGAACACATCAGGGTTTTCCAGAGACGCATTATTCGCGAGACGCGCCTGGTTGAGGAAGCTGCGGTCAAAAGGAGGCATTTCCGGGGCGCTTTCTGCACGTCGGTGATAGCGCATTTCTGGCCCGACAAATTCACCTCGTCGTCCGCCACTATACATCCGTTTTGTCGCTGCTGAGAAACCGCTCTCAGGGGCACAGCGGGATCGCCCATCAGGAGTATTGAAAGGCCCCAGAGCTGCATCCAGATCGATGATAGGGCTGAGAGCATCGTTTTGTGTGACTTGCTCGTAGAAGCTTCGTGGCTTCCACGAACTTTCCAGGCTGATGTGAGGGTCGACTTCAGATGTGGGTTCATGCGATCTTGGAGCAGCGGGGTTAGTAGGGGTCCGAATGATGACGATATCCTCATCATCGTCAAAGTTCACGTCCACTGCTGAACCGAGATCTGAATTGGTTCTCTTAATCGCTGGAGTTGTAACTTCGGACTGATTCGTGTCGTCCTTCGTCTCATCTTTCTTTGATTGATGTCGCTTCCCCTTCCCCCGGGTAAGAATGGCCCCGGCCCAAGAGCGTACTTTCTTCTGTCTTTTCTTATTCTTCGACTTTTTCTTCGAGGAAGATGTAGACTCAAACGACCCACGGGCGTCCTCAGTGGATGCATATGAATCACCATCGTCGGAAGAAGAGCGTCTGGAGGATGCTGTCCAGCGACTGTCGTCGCCATGATGTCTCCTCAATGCGGCGTCAATAATCCCGGAAGATATACTTTTGCGAAAACGAGAGTGTCCTGTGGCAGAAAGAGGCCGCTTCATCCGAGATGCATCATCGGTTCCGCTGATCGTGTTCGGGTCGAGCATCAGAGATGCATCCGCGGTTCTCGGTCTTGGCTTCTGAGTTCGATCCACAGATGACGACGGCTCACTTGTAAATGGACCAGGCTTCCCGCTATTTCTAGCTGTATTCTCCGGTCGTACTGTGCTTTCAGAACCCCTCGAAATTTCGGAAATTGGCCGCTCGTCGGTGAGACGGTCGCTTGCTGTTTCAAGCTGGACAACGGGTAAGGATTCATCATTAATCATAATCTGGGGAGATGCGGGCGGAGTAAATCGACCTAAAGTAGTTGCTGAATAGCATGCGGGTCTAAGAGCCTCGTCAGATGCACCAAGATCACGCTTTGCGTCTGTCGAGAACAGTGGCGCGCTTCCGACAGTGGGCTTCAAATCGAGCGTATTGGATATAGCGGTTAAATCAACACTGGAGATGGCCGCCGAGCGCCGATGGGCATGGCGACGCTTTCCAGGACCACCCGCACTGAAACCCGGCCCAGGAACGGGTAGCTTAGTTGGTGTTGTAGTTGGGTTTATCTCATTTCCCCGACTCATCTCCACTGGCCCAGGGCTGACAAGTTGCTCCCCGCCGACGAACTCGCTACATCGGCGACGATGCCCGCCTGCTCGATTCACAGGGAGGTTTGGCATCGAGGGTTGCGATGAATGTGCGGATCCCGGGTTAAAAGAAAAGGCGGGCAGGGGCGGAGGCCCGCCAGATTGGGCTGTCGGAGTCTGAGTTGCATCTGGTTCCCGCGCTGGGAAGATAAACGGTGGGTTTGGAAGTGGTGTGGACATTGTCAGATTGCGGCGGCTGTGTCTGCCAGGGAACTGATCCGCAGAGTCGAGATACTGGGAAAATGCTGACGTAGTCTGCGGCTGCAGAGGTAGAGAGATCGAAGCCATTGCCGACCCTGATAACGTCTAAAACCTGATTGCGAAATTACCGCGAGCCAACAACTGTCCGGTTAACCCCGTAGTAAGTGATCCAGACGCACAGATACCTCCAGACCAATATGACTTCCCTATGACCAATGGAAAGCCCGATGTTGTCTGGAGGCCTTCAATTTCCCATTGGCACCATTGATTATGCTGCACCCAAGCCACGCAACCTTGTATAACCAAGTGTCGAAACTTTATAACGTCAAACGGAGGAGGACCGGAGAAACGACGCTGCGTAAATCGACTACACTGAGGGCGTTTAACAATCGAGCGATTCCGAAATAGACTGATGCGGAAGGAAAAGTGCTAAAACCGAGAACCAAGGTCTGTTTGCTGCGCCGGCTACGAAGGATAATACTAGTACTGTAAGGAGCGGACGGCCCCGGAAAGGCCACGGAATCTGGGACGGAGCGTCGGAAGCAGAGGGAAACGAGTGAAAGAGTGTGAAAGAAGTAAAATAATAAAGATGAACAAAACAATCAAGTAAGAGCGAGAGAAAGAACGGTAGAGAAGGGGGTAGAGGAGGAAAGAGGAGAAGGGGGGTGGAAACGAGGAGAAAGAGGATCAACCTGGAAAAAGGAAAATGAAGTTGAAGGAAGGAGAGAGAGGAGTGAATGGGATGCTGAGATTAGTACCTAGTAGTGTTAATGGTGGAAAAGGCGCTGGCGTGCAGTGGAGAGGAGGAGAGACGGATGGCCGCAGGGGATGATTGGTTGGGAGAGCGGAGGGGCCGAGTCCGTACCATTCAATTACGGGTTATATTACGGGCGATGATTTTACTATTGGTGGTGCCCTCCTTTAGCCGCTCCATCCGATCGCCAGTCTGTCGTGTGGAGGGACGGGTGAACGAACTATCCAACACTTTTAACCCAAATATTATCGGTTATCGTACCTGACTATGCACCGTAATATAGGTGCTGCATTAGGATGGTGGAAAGTGGGAAGTATAGTATAGCAATGTATATCGTCAGAGTGTCCCTGGCCTGATAGGTATCGTACATCCTACCTACAGGTCCTGAGGTAGATTACAATTACCAGGTTCTATGCCTGATTGGGGTCTCGGATGGATGCAGCCTTTGTTGTGCTGTTTTATTTGTTGTCATTGTTCCTGGTCAAGAAAATAGTTCTCGAACAGCTGGCAAAACTGTCTTGAAGAAAAGAAAAAGAAAAATAAATATAAAGAATGACTAACAGGTGTATACCTTCTATCTCATTGTTGCTTTACACAACCATCTTAGGTGAACTTAGTGAAAGACGTCATAAACCATTGTATTGCCACTGATACGAGCTCAATCCCTGGTTAGGAGGAAAAAGCAAAGCCTCGATTGAGATCTCGCAGCATCTCTGATATCATCTGGTATTATGGAGGAAAGAAAAAGAAAAAAAAGCATGTACTAATCAAATCAACCATGGATCGAGATGATACCTTTTTCTCTCTCTTCCAAACCCGTTTTCATCGACATCAATAATAATAATAATAATAATAATGAAATTAAAAATAAAAAATGGCAGTGCTATTATTGAATTGTTAAAATCCACTCTCTCCAGGCATCAATACACTAAAGTGCCCGTACCTGAGTTGCCGACCAATGAAAAATCTCCGACCAGGCAGCAAAATCTCGCTTGTCTCAATGGAGTTGAACAGCCGCCACCACTACACGCTTGGTACTAACTACTTTGGGCCGTAGTTTCATTAGGTCCCAAATAATGAGCGTAATGAAACTTTCCATCTTTGGCTGACGGTGCAGCCAGCAAGTGATCCTTGCAAAGGTTGACACGTCTGGTCTTATCCGGCAGGAGAAAAAAAATTCAAAGAAGTAAAAACAATAATAGAAATAAAAATAGGAAGATAAATAGAGAGCGATGGAAGAGGATTGAAACCGTAATCCGAGGTAGCAAGAACGGACTCCAGAGAAGCAGACACTCACTCTGATTACTTACTCCGTATACCGACTACTAATAATAAGTGTCAGCTACGAAGTACATTACTTGGAATTTGTCATAGGTACGGGGAATCGTACTCTCATCGTACCTTTTCCTTATCAATCCATGGTCCTGCAATTGATATCGTTTCCTGGGTATTTTTTGAGAACTAGTAGTACTTCGGATTGGCTTTCGCAATCGCTCATTGCTAAGGTTCCAGGTAGTGCCACATGGATTGGTGGTTTCCACCTGCATGTGGTCGCAGATGGCCGCCGAAGGATTCAGCCCCTGGCCATCGTCCAAGCAAGTCTTGAACTTACTACGTGACTTAACTCCATGGGGACTGGTCCGTCAGTAACTAAGTCCCCAGACCGACAGCATCGTCCATGTCAGAATCCTTGTAACAGAAAGCACCGACCGTGCCTATTGGCCATGGCCATCCACTAACGGCTATTCTTCCTTCCCTAAAGCTACAAAACAAGGCGGGTGGAGAGAGATGTCGTCCATGTGTTTCACTCGTACGCTCTAACGCTGGTGTGGGGACTTGTAACCAGTCGATCCAAGTTGAATTGTGGGCTATTTTCAGGAACGGTTCGTCTTTGGGTCGTGGTTGAAGCCTGGAATCCATTTGGTACGAAGTAACGTAGTATGTAATGAGTTAGTCTCGTACTCCATAATCCTAAATTATGAACAACATGAAGGCAAATTGGGGGAGTGTGATCGGACTGAAAATACTGATCACCTCGAGAGGGTCACAGATGGGCAAAAGTGTGTAGTAATAGATAACCCAGCCGTCTCATGTAAATATCTCAGAGAGTTAATTAGTGAACCACGACTCTCTGCTAGTAATTCTTCAAACAAATCTCTCACCCTGGGTGTGCCCCTCGTGATCATCTCTGTTGCGACCATGATTGGACTGTCTTTATTAATTAGACTTTCGGCTTGAAGCCACTTCACGTCTGCAGCAATTCAGCCGAGTGGTTTGCTTAACCGTAGTCTCCCTGGATACCTCTGCCGATCCACCGCCATTCAGGGGGAATTGATTGGACGCGTTCCTGACAGCTACTTAATTTTTAATGAATTTAACTTCCCTAGCGACACAGAATATAACTTTTATTGGAGGTGTCTCCTACTAATCTATCCACGACTCTTCGTTGAGGTGGTCAATCTCGGGATATCTCCGCATTCCCATAAACTTCGACGTTAACGAAGGTGATCAAATTGCCGTTCAAAAGACCGGAGACTGATAACATTTGCAGAAAGCGTGGATGCCTTAAGATCTGACATCGAGCGAATCATCAATGAACAAGGGGCCATGGGGTTCAAAACTGGAGGTGGAACCGATGAAGGCACCTCTCCATCCTCTTCGGAATACCTACGGGCTGATGCCACCCCGTACCTGTTTTGGTTAACCCTCGTTTGGGTACTAGGTAACACCAAAACCACCTTGCATGAAGTCAAATGGAGACTCCTCTTTGCCCCCCCATACATGACCATACAATAATCATTGGAGATAACCCTAATTACCGCTGTAATACATCCATACAATAACCAATGCCAATGCAAGGGGCCGCGGTCCCTGTCCAACCCGCCATCGCCACAATGCCAGATCTATCCCACTCGCGAAGCCTATCTCACCGTACGGAAATATTCTCCCGGGGGTAGTTGACTTGGTTATTGCGTTGTGTTTGAATCCAATGTGCTCCGGATTCTGTCGAATGTCCACAGCAAACCTTCGACGGAGTACAAGATCATTGAAAATTGATCCACGGTTCAACACGGGAATCGTTCTATTTTCCCTTCCAGAAGGATTGTTCGAACCATGGAACTAGCCGAGTTGGAAATCGATCGATCCACTCCGCAATCATTGAAAGGAAAAAATTTTGCTTTTGAGGCAACGGCCATGTCCGATCGTCGTGATGTCAGTTAGACGTTTCGGCGATTTCATTACTTTGTGTCATGCGGGATCCACGGTACAGAAGGCTGAAGTCCAAATTTGGTGCCTACGACGTACTGATACTCGAAGTACCCTTCTGTTTTAGGTACCCTTCTCTTGCATATTTGGTTCTCTCCCTATGGGACGTAAGTTACGCTGGCGAGACATTTCAATTACAGCTCAAAGAAAAGAGAGTAAAAAAAAAAGAAAAAAGAAAAAGAGAAAGAAAGAAGTCAAGGCGTCGAGATTGCAAGGTTGTATTCGATACACCCAAAGCCTGCAACACGCTGCGTCTCCGGCGTGACTTGTGTTACCCTGCATCAGCACACTATTAATATCCCCCTGCAGATGGATCGGCACCTCCAATAGCCGATTGCGCTAAAGGGAACTCACCAGTTTCAAGGTTACAGTCAATCCCTCCGTCGGCATGACGGGCCAGTTCTCCACGCGGGGTTTATGTGTCATCCCGAAAGAGTGTCACTTGACAAGATCTCTATTGCGCTCGGTGAGTGGTGAGTGGAGGCCGCGTTCAATTTCACGAGACCGACTAAGCTCCAGGAACTGTATTGTGCGGTCACCGACTGCGTCTATTCGTAGTGGTGGTGCTTAGTACGGAGGGTCCTATTCTGATATGCTAATAGGGTGGAGGAGCTAGGAGCATATCCAAGTACTAACGTATAAGTTTGTGCTCCAAATTCTGCCAGGCCTGAGCTTTTCTCAGTGAATGTGTACTTGCTAACTAGAAAAGTCACCGGCGAGTGTGCGCACAGATGTAGGCTAGGGGATCTATCTCGCGTCAGGGCTTGACATTCCACATATTACCGGGGTGTTCTATCTCCCGAATGCCTTATTCTATATACACTGTGTCCTCCGACAACACTTGGAAAGTCGCTTTCGGTTTGGGCTGCCTAAAGCCTCGTCGAAGATTTTGCAGACTTAAATTTTCGGGGACGTTCAGGCAACCTATATGCTTGGCATGCACCATCAGCTGATATTTTCTTTTACCGCCATAGGATGTTCGTATCATTGTCAGTCGACCACATTCGGTAATTCCATATGCTTGCCAGGTGGATGTAGCATAATGTCTTACCTTGGCCAGTCACATGCGAATACTGAATTCTTTGGATACTGAATCCTTTATACATCTACTGAATATGAAAAGGTGATCGAGTCACTGCCTTGTTACGAAATCTATGTCTTGGAGTTGTTCATCGAAGTCGGATCGGCTTGTGTAACATTATATCCTATATATCAATGTAAACAAACCAGGCAGTGACGAAAAGAAGAAGAGTGCCATGCGATGTAACTGGTGCTGGATTCAATCTGCCCACGCCATATGTGCAGAACCTCGCTTCACCGGAAATTCTAGGCTATGGTTAATTTTCTGTACCTCTAGTTGAAGTAACATAATCTCGTCGCCGAAGTGGATCTTATGTTCATTGTCTCGACGTAAGGATAACTCTTAACAAGTCAAAGTCCTGGTGCAGTATCCTCATATGAAACACAGTGTCAATACCCAGTCCTCAAGAGAAGATGGATGAAGGGCATGTAAAAGCTAGTTTGACATCTCGTTGCGCGACTCAGGCCCCAGTAGATTAGATCCAAGAGAGATATGCCGGTGGAACATTGGTTAACTTCAAACACTGTATGATTAACTACCTACCCATAGCAATTGTTATAGGCTGATAAGGGGATAGGAGGCATGTTGATTAGAGCCCGGTCAGCGCACTGATGAGAAAGACTCTGTGGTAGAGAGACGCTGAACTTAAACTGGCAAGTCAACATGAACAAGTCCATTCTATGTAGACAGTAAGAATCTATGAAACGGACAACATAGAGAGTATTCTTGCTTTGTCACCCCTGGGATAAACAATGCGCTGGCAAATGAGTTGACAGATATCATACATGACGTGCTTCATTCAATCTGTTATGGCTTCCATAGTTTGGACTCGTATCCTGACATTCAGAGCAACCATACAACAGTTGACTAACTCTTTCACGCGCGAAGAGGCACTTTACATTATATATTCACTAATACACGTATCTACATGAGACTGTCTTCGTGGGTTACAAACGTCGATCACAGAAGTGTTCCGAAGGTCCTCCATTTACACCAGAATAAGAGCTGAAATGGTGAGAAGTCATCGATGGTCAGCCAGTGGAGAATGAAGAGAGTAAAGAGTAGCAGCGCCAGCCTCGCTAAACTAAGCTTCAACAGAGCCCGGTGAGATGGCCAATATGACGACTAAAGCGGCTATGATCAAAGCAGCGGCTACAAACGCAATTATCGCTACACTGCCGCGACTAGCGGGGAACTTCCCTCTAATGATCCAGTACTGGCTTTCAAAGTAGCGATGGAATCCAATCAGCAGAATAACAAGAGAGACACCAATGAAAGTTGTCCCGAGGGGTTTACCGATACTCCGAAGACGTTCGGAAGTGGCAGTCACCCTAATGGTCGTGGGATCATAGAACGGTGGTGATAACAATGGGGGAAGGGCTTGCGACGAGTAGTCTACACCCGATGTGCTTGAACTTGAACTGTTCAAGCGAAAAAGTTGTGTTATGGCGATTCCGATGGATGCAAAAGCTAAGGATGTCCTTAACCATGCGAGAAATGTTCGCTCTACAATCCATGATGATATCGTTAATACCCAGCGGCAAGGGAAAAGGGGGAAATGACGCACCTAATGCCAGATGATCGCGAGCCACACTCCCCTTGTTCTCCAACTCCAGACTGCCGTATCTATCGGCGATTCGACTGAACCACGATACATGGGGTTCTGTCGAATCGGATTGCCAGTTTTGCTGGTCGGCTTCCCTTGTGTTCCGTTGGCCAGAGCTTTTCGGCTGACTATCTCCGAACCCAGAGTCTCGATTCCTCAAACCCTCTGTGGATTGATAGTTCTGTCTAGTAGAGCCGTTGCTCACGATCGGAGTAATTTCATTGAATGGTGGTGGCTGGCCCTGGTCAGGCGCCACATTGGGTTGATCCCGCGCAGTTAAGGGAGACATGCGTCTCGGTTGACTATTAGAAGGATGGGGGGATGAAGATCGATGCGTGGGAGAGGAGCTGACGCTTTTGGTGGTGGGTTGGGTCAAATCAGAGGAGTCCATGATGGCGTGCTCGCATCGGCAGGGGTAGGCACGCTACGAGAGTTGCCGTGTAATCTATAGTTTTAGATTTCCAGATACCCGAGCTTGCGGTGGAGATTCGATTCGATCCGTGGAAGTCGCGGGTACTAGAGAGCCTTTCCTGATCTCCCAACCTAGCAAATTTCACTGTAAACCAGATGGCAAGTAGCAGGAGAAGAAAGAATAAGTAACCATGAACGGCTCCTACTTTTCACACTGGGTTTGCCCCTCAATCAAACAGTATGCCTAACGAGCTGAACTCGCTACCTCGCAGATTTTCCCCCGAGCACAATAATTATCACGCGGTCAGATACAGGACAATGTCTGACCATTCAGCACCGAACTCTATGTCGATCACATGATGATCGTCATGAGGAACCATTACTGCTTGCGGCATGGCGTCATGCTAGTGATCAGAGGCGGTCAATTCGGTGAGGGAGGGAATTCTGCCCATGCAAACCGCCTTATGTTATCGCGTCAAGTGATTGTCTCTCTTTCATTAAATGAACTTCCTATGTGGGGTGTAAACTAGTCAACTGATCAACTCCCCCATCACCTTTCAACATGGCATCCGAGGTCTCTGCATCGCAGGGAGTACCAAAACCCAAGATTGACCTGTCAAAGAAACTTTCAGAACTGCGTTCGAACCGCAAATCCCAGCCGGCGCTACCTTCCCGACCGTCCAGAGAACCTGCGCCAGTCACCCCGCCGCTTTCTAACCCCCCGGATCTATCATCCCACCAATATGCACGCCCAGTTCGCCGAATCTTATCAAACCATGACCATCAGTTGTTCCTTTCTTCACCATCCTATTCTCTAATTCTCGCCTTCATCTTTGGTCTCTCCGATTCAGTTCGTGGATGTGCAACCACAGACTCGAAAGACCGTCCGGTTTCCCCCAAGGTATCCAAGATCCTCTCCGTTGTCGACTCTATCCGGACCCTTCTGGATCAACATCCATCTATCGACCAAGGTGGCTCAAGATTCGGTAACCCTGCTTTCCGCGACCTGTTTGACGATGTCGCCGCGCAGAGCGCAAAGTGGCACAGGGAGATCCTTGGTATTCAGGATACGACCGCCATAGAAGAAGCGTCGGCATATCTCATACACTCCCTGGGTTCTCGAGATCGTTTAGACTACGGTTCGGGCCATGAATTGAATTTCATGATGTGGCTGTTATGCCTGCGCCAGATGCAGCTATTCTCGACCGCAGACTTCGAGATGATCGTGTTCCGAGTGTACGTTAACTACATGCGTCTCATGCGTGACGTCCAATCCGCGTACTATTTGGAACCGGCAGGCTCTCATGGTGTCTGGGGTCTCGACGATTACCACTTCCTTCCTTTCCTTTTCGGTGCCGCCCAGCTCGTTGAACACCCTTACATAACCCCGTTAGCAATCCATAACAATGTAATCCTCGACGAGGAAGGAGATAGGTATATTTACCTAGACCAAGTGCGATGGGTAGATAGTGTGAAAACGGTCAAAGGTCTACGATGGCATAGTCCTATGCTAGACGACATCTCAGGGGCCAAGAATTGGAGCAAGATCGAAAGCGGGATGAAGAAGATGTTCGTCAAAGAGGTCCTGGGTAAATTACCCATCATGCAGCACTTCTTGTTTGGCAGCCTGATACCCGCAGCGCCAGGCATGGGAGAGGTCGACGACGTGGAGACGGATGGGCATGATCATACCCACGGCAATGACCACGCTCACGCCCAGCACACCGATCATTTTGGTGACTGCTGCGGAATCAAGGTGCCGAGCACTGTAGCTGCAGGAGCGGAAGCGCGCAAACGAGGAACAGGCTTGCGGCCAATCCCCTTTGACTAGTCTTGCACACGACGTTACGAACCTGGCGTTAGGAGATAAATTCAGCATAGAATTAATCAGTAAATATCGAATAATGAAACTCCCTTCATCAAAAATGAGCCCATACAATACGCACCAAGTAAAATACCCATTAGATACAAAGAGGTCACATGACCTAATTCCCACCACCCAATCACCAACCCCATCATCCTCCAACATCCAAGCAACAAAACCTACTACCTAAACAGCAACACCCAACCCAAGCCCGCCCAAGATGCCAGCCGACGAGTACTCTGTCGGCGGGGGCGGAAAGCTCAAACTAAAAGGCTCTAAAGTAAGCGACGGCCGCATAGAAAAGAAAAAGAAGAAAGCCAAGAAAAGCAACCCGGAAACCGGCAGCAAGAAAGAAAGCGAGGATGCTCCTCCGCCTGCGTCTACATCCCAGGCAGCAGATGAGAAGGAGAGCTCTACTTCTCTGCCTCAGCCGGATGAATCTGATGCCGGGGTGGGTGTCGTAGCTGCTGGGAAGACAGAGGCGGAGAAGAAGCATGAGGAGATGAGGAAGAAGAGGGTAGGTTCTACATTTTTCTTCTTTTTTTGTTCTGGATTCTTTGAGGATTTGGTTCTGCTGGGCTTGAAGTTTGGGATTGTGTTCGGTGTTGGACTTTGTTAGTATATGTCGTTTACCTTACCTTGTCTTGTGAAGGGAAAGACAAGAGAAAAGGTTTTACTTCGATCTTTATCATCTATCCTGAATCTGCAGCGAATGATGATGGAGTATATGGCAAATATACTAACAAATAAATGTATAGTTACAAGAGCGTCTCAAAAGAGAAGGAGTTAAGACGCATAAAGAGCGAGTGGAAGAGTTGAACAAATATCTCAGTCGACTGAGCGAACATCACGACATGTAAGTCTCATTTCCCCTGATCTCAAATCTCATTATTTTTGCTTTTTTTGTGTCTTGTTGGAACTGAAACCTCTGGGCTGATCGTTTTCCGCAGGCCGAAGATTGGACCCGGTTAAGACACCTTTATTATTAGTACTAGTATTATTAGTTTTTGTTCTTTTCTTTTCTTCTTCTTTGTTCAATGCATGTATTATTGTTTGGTCTGTTTTATATTATAGGGTTGTAGAATTTCCTCATGTAATCGTTGTCATGTGCTTTATTTTACTTCTTTTCATATCTTTTTATTTCGTGCTGCTGCTCTTTTTTTCCCGCTTTTCTTTTTGAAAACGTCTCTCACGCTGGAACTTGAGGGTGAAAATCATATGACACCGCTACGTTCTAAATTCTCGTTGGTCGGAGCTATAGACCTCCTGGGTCCCGCTAGCGACTAACCTGCGGCCACGCCGCTTACGCTAAGTAGTCGGGTGCTCAAGGAACATTTGATAGGTGGATGGAATATGCAGTATATACCTAAAACCGTTTGGTTATGTGACACGCCAATGGGACGGAACGGCCTAAGCTCGAACCGCCAATCTATCCAAGCGTATGACCAGAGAGAGTAGAATGGTAGGAACAAAGATTAAGGGAGTCTCGCATCGTATCCGCACTCACCGTCCACTGGATGGTCAAAGCCGAACACGATGTTCAACCCCATGCAGAATGTACTTCAAGAAAAACGTATAATCAAAACCCCCACAGGTGTCAACGCCTTGCATATACCAAGAACAGGAGAAAAAGTAAATATACCAAAGCCAAGAAACAAAAACACCTCCCGACCCAAAGATATTGTTTGAAATGGAAAGAGATAATGGCCACGGCGGGTTGTTAACGAACCCGGCAACGGCGATGATGTAATCAAATCGAACACCGCGCTAAATCAAACGGTTTCGCTGATGGCGATGCGCAAGAACCGAAAGGAAAGTTTCAAAAGAAAAGAAGCTGAAAGTAGAGGACCCCATGACGTCGCCTATACGCCCTTGATGACATGGGTACGCTCGCTGTTCAGCTTATCGGCGTTGCGGGCGTGGGACTCCTTCTTGCAGTCCTCCAGGCCAGTGCAGGAGTGGGCTTCCAACATCCGGTGTTTCGAGCAGTAATGCCCATTGCAGAAGCTGCAGTCTCCAACAATTCGCTGAGCTGCTTCCTTGCATTCCTTGAAGTTGCAACGGGGCTTGCGAGGAGCCATGTTGATCGGGTGGTGGCAAGTAGGGAGGCGGATAAGGAGGTGACGTCGGAGAGGAGCCGATAAGCGCCGAGTTGGAGCAGGCGGATTGCAGCTTGTTGTGAACGATTGCTAGCGACTCACGGAGATTCCGGTGTGATACGGAGATAGTGATGACAGAGAGAGAGAGAGTCAAGAGAGTGAGGTTGCAAGGCCGCTATGAATGGGTGACGTGGACGTCCTGAAAGGAAGATAGAGCGCCGAGAAGAGGTATGGGGAAAGGACGGTAGATAAGGAGGCAGATAAGGACGGGGAGGCTATATATATACTTGTTAGATGGGAAGGCAAAGACGGGTGAATCGGATAGGGACACAAACCGGAGGAAGACAATGGAAGCGAAGAACAGACTGGTAAGCAGGAGACAAAAGATGAAGAAGGAGCGGCGAAAGCGCAGTCAAAGTCAATTTATACGGAAGAGGCATTCATTCATGACCTGCTGAGTCACGACTCCATCCGCAGTACGACTGCAGATCCGATGTCGTAGCCGTTTAATCCCATTCGGGGCTAGCTCCTCTCAGGCCCCCGTTTCGGTATAGCCCCGTTACCAGACTTCTGTTAAAGTGTAAAAAAAAAAATCACTCTGATTTACTGCTCTGGGACACTCTAACGAGTGGAGGCAAATCCGGAGTGGAAACCAGAAACTTCCATACTCCGTAGTAGTACATACTTGAACTATCGTGGTTCCAGTGAGGCAAAAATCGTCAGGCTCCCAAACCCGCGAGGTTTTCCCGATATCCTGCCCTCACTCGGATGGGCGTTCGAATTGTCTGGTTTAGTTAAAGTTTTAAATAATTTCAGGAGGCATTGTCATCCAGGAAATAGAAGGGCAAATAGTTAAAATAGTAAAATAAAAATGGGAGAAAAAAAAATCTAAATTAATTACAGTTCACTTCGGGACGTGTTCTCAATCGGATTTCCCTCAGTTTGCCCCCTTTCTAGTACTCCTTGGGGAATGATTCCCCTTTTTGTGGTGGTTTGGCTGAACACCTAATTGTTAAGGAATGGTCCCGGGACTGGGGTACAACTACTAGTAGTAACTCACACCTCAGGTGCTCATCATGTCGCCCGATGTTCTCATTAATCTCGCAATAATCCACTCTTCTTATGAAAGGCAACATTAATCCCTCCACCTTACCTTTTCGATTTTTCAATCTATATATAAATCAAGTAATTTTTAACGAAATATAATAAGAAGGAAAGAAAAAGGAAAGGAGAACAGCCAACGTCAGCACCTAATTAATAATCCAACGCCAATGCATGCCATTCCGGCTTGCTGGCACAGCACATCACCTTGCAGTATGTACAGTTACAACCTGATAGTTAGGTTGGTATGTACGGAGTACATACCCTGGTAAGTGAACAGGTAGACAAAATACCATCGGTGTACCCAGTGAGCCTCCCCCGTGTTCCCGAACATTGAAGCTACTATACAGGTGCTCCTTATCCAGTGACCCTGACTGGTCCCGTGAAGTCTACTCCCCTAGTGCCAGGGGATTTCCATGGGATGTGTCTGATCACGTGACCGTGTCATGCCTTGCAGGAGATTGTACTCCGGACGGGCGTTGAAAACCCTTCGTTAACGTATACACGGGGATGTTACCTTGGTGGACGGAGTATGAGCTCTCAGTAAATCCGGGTGGAGACTCGATCATACGTACCTCCATAATTCATGATTCAAGGGCGAGTGGGTACGTTAGCTTAGCAGAAAGATCCATAGATGGGCGATACTACTCCCGATACAGTTGGATTGAATGCCTAGTATGGACAACATACTAGGATTGGGTGGGACACATCCAGATGAGATGTTGGGAAAGAGCGTGCTACTACCACTACTTATAATACGTAGTACTTTTTTTAATGCACAGGACCTCCGCACCTGCAAGTACTACAGGTCTCCCATCGTAGCGTCGATGGGATAGGCTTCCGACCATACACCATGGCTCGTGCGATATACTAGTATTGACACGACCACCACAAAATAAAATAAAAACAAATTAAAAGGAAAAAAAAGAAAAAAACCTGCTGAATGCAAGAGAGAAAACTACCAACATCGTAGCTCCATGACCTCTATACCAGATTTGCCTTACCCCTCAGGATCTCCAACCCCCACCCATCTATTTCTTTCTTCTCCGCGATCCAGATAAGAAAATCGGTTAATATCTTTAGGCTTCTTCCCCCTCTTTTGAAAAACCTCACCTTGGGCACAAATGCCTCGTCGTCGCACGACAACAACTGATGTACTCTTATAACTATCCACCCAGAAAGGTCCACGACACTCACCGTACAATTCCATTCCTAGTCACTTGTGTTAGCCAGAAGATTCGCTAGCCCCGTTGAGATATTGATGAGCGGTCAAGGGGAATTGGAATCCTGGTTTTCCTGGTGGCGAGACACATGGAAAAATAAAAAGACGAAAAAAAAAGCCCTCACCTCCATATCTAATGAGGTTCTTCTCCACATCTGTCAGGCGAACAGTCGATCATTTTCCCAATCTTGGGTGGAAGATAAGCGCAGGTGAACGGACACTTCACCATTTGGTAGGGCGGGGAAAGTAAATTTCATCCCTTCGTGCAGCAGCACTCGCTGCTGAAAAATAAGACTCTAAACAGACCATAGTGGTATCTACAGTTCATAGCTTCATATCATTTTCTCCCTAAATAATTATCCACGCCAAATTATCGTTATCAGAGGGAATAACAGCTGCATTGCAACGCCTGATGCCAGTCAAACACACCGGGTAACCTGGAAAATCATAATTATAGACCAGCAAGGGAACAAAAGAAAGAAGAGGAGGAAAAGCAAATAACAAACAAGGGGTTCACCTTATACCCCCATCTCCTTCTCTTTCCCGGAATCTGGGTCAAGGTAGGTTTCCTTCTCCGCCGCCTCGTACTCTCCAATGAGGTCCATGACCACAGCCCTGGCCTCATCAAACTCCCCAAATCCATCGCTGAATGGGGCCTCCTTCCTATACTGCTCGATGAAAGCGTTTCGCTTCCGCAGTCGATCGTACTGCTGGACGATCCGCTTGAACAACGTTGCCACCGATGTGTGGTTCGCCAGCATCAGCCCGCTGACACGGTGGGTGTTTTGAATGTACGGTGACTTTTTCGTCAGTGCAACCTGGATACTAGCTGGGCCCCAAGGAATGAAAGATGCCAATCGGCGCTCCCGGATACGGAGCAAGGACTTGTGCACGTCGGTGGGATCGGCTTCACCCTGGATAATGTTGAGAATACTAATATAGCAGCTTGATTTACTGGGGTTGATTGAAACCATGCGGTTCTTGGGTTGTAGTAGACGACGCATCACGTCAAGCACGGTCGTCTTGCGGACCGTCTTGGCTTGTTCAATATTGTCACCTGTAAATGGTGTGTAGGAGGTGATCAAGAAGTGACTGCGTGGCGTCGGGATAAGAGAAGCGATGATCCCGACCAGGTCATTGTGCATGTAACCAGGATAACGGAGGGTGGTAGTGGATGCAGACATAACAGTTGAAACCTATGATCAATTAGCTTGACACGAGCCCCTCTGAAGCTAAAGAGCACTCACAAGCTGATTCGTTTGCTGAAGCGAAGGCTGCAGCACATGAAGTCTGTCGGCAACGATCCTTGAAAGAGCTCCATTATCCAAAACCACCTAGACAGCTTTAGTCATTGTCACCAAGGCAGAGCTAATACAGCGTAAACTTACCACAGAGTCGGCGTTCTGTGTCAACCTCCTCATTGCAAGTATACTATTGTACGGATTGACCACAACATCTGCCGCTTGAGTATCCGGAAAGACGGAGTATGTTTGAATCAGCTTTTTAGGAAATCGATCATTCATCCGTTCCAAGATGAAACTTCCCATTCCAGACCCAGTACCTCCTGCAATCGAATGCAGAAACATGAATCCCTGTCACAATGTGAACATCAGCCATTGAGTTCCCATTGTACCCATTGTACCCATGTTGACCACTTCAGTCCTCCAGATTTCAAGTATTCCGAAAACATACCTCTAAGGAATCACTACCATCGGCTTCGCGGTCAATCATGTCGAAGATATCCTCTTGTACAGCCTCACCCGCGGAATACCCAGCACCCCAATTATTACCTGCGCCAACACCCTGTTGTCCCACGAAAAAGTTCTCAGGATTGTAGATGTTTCGATAGGGACCAGTTTGGATCGTATTGAGGACCTAAACCGCTAAACTCAGCTCATATCTTCGTCACGTCGTCGCAGGGGGTAGACTCGTACTCTGGGTTCTAGGTCCAGCAAGATCGCTCGGGGAATATACCGGGTATCATCACTCTAGAAAGCCCCCTCAGTTAGCATTCTACGCACGCGCAAGCACCATAGACCAAGACAGTTGAAGTAGCTCTCAATACCTGGTAGAAGAAGACATCCTTGCGATCACCGCCCTCGGTAGCAAATTCCTCCAAGTTCCCATCTTGACTTATTCCATGCTCCAGGCAAAGCTGTTGCCAGAATTGGCTGCCGACTATAACTTGTCAGCAGAGCTATACATCGCTCGAGGGAGTTCATCCGTTTGCCATCTCGTCGTCTCGACACAGCTATGACGGGTGTTCCGTGGGTGGTGTGCTATCGCGGATTCCATACCATTGTTGCCACATTGGCCGGCCTGAATTGTGATAATTTCTCTACTCGCCTTGTCAGTAACGGTCGCTAATGTCTCACAATTAGAGATAGAGAGCAGATCAGTCGGGTTATGGCACGTACCTGGGCATATTTGTGCTTGACCACTGCGAGTAGTCGAGGTTAGCGTACGCGTAGCGCGTTCCCGCGGGGAAACATTGGGTAACAATTAGAGTGGTGGAAGCCTCAGGTATACATCCATGCGGTGAACTATAAATGCCACGCTTCTTCACCAGAACCTCTTTAGCATTTAATATAGCTTATAAATGGTCCTTGAAAGTTACTAGATAGTATAAAGCTCTATGCTGATATTATACTACAATCGGTGGAAATGAGCATCCGCTTAGGAAGCTCTTTTGTGTCCCAAATGACAGTAACTTCTTCTATTAGGTTTCTAATGTCGCTGGATTTATTGACAGGCAGCTTAGCATATAGCAATAGTGAGCTAGAGGCCAACGCACGTACTACCCTACGTACCATTCCCAGTGTCTCCGTCATGAGAGTGAAAGCAAGGGTGTATTTATTTACGCCAGTGCAAGGGCTGTTCAACCGCACTCCTCATTTTAGTGCATACCATGTGACCGTTGTGTTTATATGGACTGTGTATCAAATCGCCTGCTTGTGAATCCCAGAATCGTGCAGTGCATAGACAGAAATCAAGGCAGCTAGAAGAATATAGACAGATGCTAAACATGAATGTTAACGAGCATAATATGATCCCGACTTTGTTCATAAAGTTCAACTTGAAACTCAACATCAAGAAACAAATTGCTCCCAATCACCGGCCGACTGTAATCCGAACAAGGAGCATTGACCTCATGATTCCCACAACTTGAAAGCTAATCATCCACAGACCTCAAAATCCTGCTTTGCACGCCGTAACCAGCATCCCGACGCCGGCAACCACACCGTCAACGATCCTCACACGACCTCCCTCTTGCTGACCATAAGCTTCAACACAGCCATCCCTCACTGCTTCCTCCATTCCAGCCATACCGGCGCAGCCCATACAGATTGCCGTAAGCGGGTGCGGAGCGGTCTGAATAAGCCTTCGTGTAGCCTCGCTGATCCTCGTTCGCACTTCCTCGGCTGGGGTGGTATGCAGTTCAACGGCTGTCAGACCGGTAGTCTCTACACCAGCGAAACGATTGGTCGACGAGGTCTTCTCATCAGAATGAACAAGGAATGCTTCAACAGCACGACTTAGTTCATCCCGCCAGATGCTGCCCGTAGAAATGATTCCGAACATTTCCTTGGATTGCGTTTTGTGCAGCCCCGGATCTCCAGTCATGTGAAACGAGCCAACCAATGACAGCGACATGAGGACACTCGCTTCGAAGATACCCGTAACGTACTTTCTCTTCGGTTTCAAGTCCACTGGCATAGCGGAACTTTCTAATTTTGATATGGCTTCCTTCAACATTCCAACGAGAGGATGGGCCGAATAGCATGCCACAAGAAATCCATCGTATTTAGGAATAAGGGGCTCCACAAAGGGCCTGCAATGCAATGCTGATGTAGCAGAGTCCTCGCCTGAGTTGATACTCGGCACGCCATTTATTGCACGTCCATCTTCGAGGGTGACTGACTCATTCGACGGAGCCGTCAAGTAGTCAAACTGAACATCTGCAAAACCGAGATTGCCCACTATAGGTTTCAATGCATCCGTCATGTGCGTGGATGTATTTGGGTTGATGATTAGGATACTCAGCCGACTTTTGCCTGATTCAGCCATTCTGGAAGACGCTTATGAAAATCTGATAGAGCAGTAAAACGAGGGGAGAGAATATGTCATTTCCTTTCTGAGTGACACTTAGAGGGGACAACCAAAAGGGTATAGACCAGCCGTGCCCCACCTTAGCTTCTCGGCATGGCGAGCTTAGCTACGGAGTTGGTATACGCAGTATCTTGAAAGTCTGATATCAACATCAACTTGCACATATGGGAAGCTCTATGAATTTGGGGATATATAGACAAACGGGTAGAAAAACGGTTGGAATAATAGTCCCACATGACTTTGAGAAAACACCTGCCACAATGTGTTTCGGTGACCTTAATAGGCGTTGCTTTGTAGAGACGAGCGAAAGAAATTGGTGCTTTACGGCTATGGTAAAGGAAATATATTTCCACAAGGCTGTTAAGATTACACGGCAGCCGTCTTAAGCCTCTAATAGCTCACCTACTACGAACATACTTATAATGATGTCGTTTGGTCAAGTTCGTATTTCAATTTTCGTCCATAGCGCCATCAAAATCAGGATTCAGGCGTGAAGAAAGATAGAAGGCTTCGATACAAGACATCTTCTCTTATGGGAATAGTACTAGCATCTAGACAAAGTCTCACTTCTATTTTCAGTTTTTTTTTTTTTTTTTTTTTTTTTACCGAATCACTCAATAGAGTAGTATAGAGTTGTCTCGTCACGCGAAGTTGTATTGGCGGGTAATGGAGGTCGTGGTAAAAACAGACCATTCTATATGTCCGTTTTAAATGCTTTTAAAGTCTCACTTCTATTTTTTTTTTTTTTTTTTTTTTTTTTTTGTTTACCCTAAGCCTCCAGGCCACAATCGCGGCCATCTTCTCCAGGCACCCACACCTTCCGAATCGGGTAGCCAGTCTTCCCTTCCAATATCTTTTAAAGGAACAATAATTTGTTACATCTCACTCATTTCCATAGTCTGAGTATCTTTGAACATAACAAAGGCCCATTGTCTGAATAAAGCTTGTTGAACTCTTCATGAACAAGCCCTTTGTACGGGCTCACCCATATAAAACGGCCCATCTTACATCAGAATCAACATTCTCCCAAACAACTATTCTCAGATCAGACTTACGAAACCCTTACTAAATTCTCTTTTATCTACACATAATACTTCGCTCTGATACGTCCCCAGGACATCTCTCCTACCACCACTGCCTTATAAGGCCAGAACCTCTCTCTAAAACCTAGATACTCCTATAACATTAAAAAAAATGGTTCTCAAACTCTGGCCCCTTATACTCTTCGCAACATATACACTCGCCGATGAGTGCAAATTCGACGATATGTTCACCAAATGCTACTGGGAAGGAACTGGTCCCTGGTGCGGAGCCAAAATCCGATTGGAGGCTAAAGGCAAATCTGGGTATACGTTTATGATATCGACGCAAAACGAGGACTTGAAAGACATTAAAGGTATTATTAGTGAAGACTGCTATAAGGCATATGGGACCACATGCTGGTTGGGTGGACATAAGAATTTATGGTGTTTGCCGATGTTCTAGGCTTGAGTGGATAGGTGTTTATAGTGGTAGGGAATTTGAGGCTGTGGAATGTGCTCGCCTTCTTGTGTTATTGGTTGGGTGTATGGTAGGTTAGGTGTTGTAGTGGCTTGTTGTTTTTGATGGTGGGATGGAGATACAGTTGGGGTGTATCCTTGGTCGACAGTATATGTGCAACAGCCTCAGCTACACCAAGAATGGGAACCAAGAATGAATTGCTAGAATATTTTATATAAAAAAGATCTAAAAGAGAGAATCGAAACTAGTATTAATACAAGATCCAAAAATAACAAGAATAGAAATGGAAAGACCATCCAGATAATGGTTGGCAGAAGTAAGAAAACGCAGCATCATGTTACGGTGCGCGACAAGAATGTAAGGGGTAAGAGAGTAAAGAAAAACTAAAAAGGGAAGAAATAAAGTAAGAGACTCAATATAGGAGTTGGTGCTCAAACTACAGGCTGAGCGCGGACCTGCAGCGCTCAATACCGAGCTGATTCACTAGGAACTCATTGGCAAACTGGCAGTTGGGGTCCTGGTGCTCCTGGATCTTCAGGAACTCCGGAAGCTTCGGGAAGACAGACACGGTGTGCTTGGGGTCATTGGGAGACATCTTGTTCCAGTGCGAGCGAGCATTGTACACAGAGCCGAACTCATTCTGGAAGTCGTAGGCAAACTGCTGGTTGTTGTACAAAGTATCCCAGTGGTTCACCTTTTGCATCCAGTCAATCTCGAGGACACCGAAGACACCACTGTTCTCGGAGCCGAGGTTGTAGGTGTTGGCTGGGGACATGTAAGAGTCATCGCCCTTGAGAGCACGGAACTGGAAGATCATCTTCTCATTCTCAAAGCCCTTCATCTTCGGGGTCTGTGCTTGCTGGTACTTGGTGTAGTTGACAGCGGCGTCCACGAAGTGCTCCATGGGGAAGAAGTGCTCAATCTCAGCGTAGAACTGGCTCGAGCAGATACCCTGAGGAGGGCATGATACTGCATCGCTTGTCTCATCGTAGCAAACATAGTCCTTGATGCAGTCACCACAGCCATTGGCGCAGTAGTTGAGGGTACAGTTGCGGACACCAGTGTAGTTGGTCGGTTCCCACCAGCTGGCGTAGAAAGTAGGCTCGATGACCCAGTCATCAGCCTTGGCGTCCCAGTTGAAGTGAGGTCCCCAAACAGTCATGCGGTCATGCTTCTTGTAGAGATCCGCAAGCTCAGTGTACAGCTTGGTGTAGTCGGTGGTGGCGTTCAGTACCTTGGTGGTCTTCTTCAGGAAATGAGTAGGCTGAACCTTGAGGGTGACTTCGGTGATCAGGCCGAGAGCACCGAGGTTGACACGGAACGCCTTCATTTCTTCAGCATTCTTGTGTGCGTCAATCGTACGGATCTCACCACGAGCATCAGCAACACGGAGAGAAACTACCTGCGTTGCCATATTGGTGATGTTCTGGCCCGTGCCGTGGGTACCGGTGCTAATAGCACCGACAATGTTCTGGACACGCATGGCACCGAGATAGTTGAAGGACAGGTTGTGCTTCTTAAGCTCATTCACTAGATCATAGACATCCCAGCCAGCACCGACGGTGACGGTCATGTCCTTGTTGATCTCAAGCTTCTTCAAGTTGGTGAGGCTGACGATGTGAGAAGTTTTGTTGGTGGCACCCTTGTTCATGCAGGTAGTCAAGTTTCCAAAACCGTGGCCATTACCGACAACCTTGATAAGGGATTGCTTAGGGAACTCCTTCTTCAGGAAGTTGGCAACACCGGTCTCATCCGCCGGCGCGATGAAGGTATCGGACTCACAGCCGACCTCATACTGCCAGTTGAACCAGCGATGTGCCGAACCAAATGTTGCATTTAGCAGCAACAACAAAAGAGGAAGCCGCATGCTTCCGAAGGCAACCATTTCGAACAGAAAGAACCTGTACCTAACAAAACACTTTGTCAACTCATGAAACTAAAAACGGTACTTAGCGGTTGGATTGGAAGATCTTCAGGTGACCGTACCTTTACCTGCCCGAGTTGGTAGAGAAGAGAATGTACTTTGTGTCCAGAGACTGATGTTTACAAGGTGCAGGAGGGAAAAGGCCTATTATATAGGCAAGATCTATAGTACTCTGCAGACATTGAAACATATTGTATACAGTGATCGGCAGGGTCATTCCCTTCTAGTGTTCTTTACGTCTCCACCCTCGGCAGGGCTTCCCCTGTCACAGGTAAACACGCCTAATTGCTTGGCTACAAGATTACAAAACTTTATTGTCTCATGTTGATATTCACCGGTATCTGTATCTGGTCGGCTCATTGCTTTGAAGAGGTTATGGAGCTGCCTGTTTTGACCGGAGAATTGAACTATGCCTCCCATCCAAGAAATCCCAGGCGACTGGAACTCCAATAAACCCACAGCACTAGGCATTCATTCTATAAAACTCATATGAAATGAGACACATACTATTAATACCCAGAGATAGCAGTAAAAGATAATATATATATTGAACTAGAATCGCAGACATATTGCAGAAGTAATGCATGTTAAAACTCTTGGCGACTTGAAAAGGGAGAGAGACGGTGTAGGATTGAGAATGAACCAGAAGAGGAGAAAGCCAACAAAAAAAGAAGAAATAAAATGGTAGCTTGGATGTCGATCAAAAAAGATCATCCTCCGTTTATGGGGTCTTCTCTTCTAACCCTAGTTCAAACCACCACGGAGGTATCACCAATCCCTTGCTCTCTGTGCATGTACCTTGTATATCGGTATGGCATTTTTGCGATTTTGTCATCCCATGATTGCCTATCAATGGATTGATCGACACTGTACATTGCCTACATGGACAGGAGGAAGGGTGCGCTCTACTGTCCTGGCTTTATGGAACCTCTCATGGGCCCCCGCCTGTGGATGGTGGCATTCCGGGATCTTCGGCTTCCTCAAGTATCTAGTGTGCGATTTTAGATGTTATGATCCTTAGCTATATACAAAATGACTTGATGGGAGCGATATTGGACACCCGCTGATCAATTGGAGGGACACTAGTAGAACAACTAGTTGAAATCATATGGTAGATTACTTGCTTTCAGAAAGCAATTGACGCACTAACCTCACTAAAGACTAAGAAGATAAATTTTCGAGGGGTAATTATCGATCATATATTACAGACTTTATACCAAAATGTAGTTTCCTAAGAAAGTGTGACAAAACACAGGAAAGAATGATATACACACAAGAATCGGAAAAGAGAATGAGAAAAGAGAAAAGACTCAGTGGAATGTAGACGCCCCCTCCCTCCTTCAAACGCATTTCTTAAATAAATCCCTCACAGTTGAATCACAACGGTACAAAAATGGGCCTATGAGTTCTTGGAGTAATCCGCAAGAATGGCATCAGCAACCTTGAGAGCCATACCATAGAAAATGGTCATGACGTGCGAAGACACTTGGGTTGGTGGGATGGACCCATCAATGACACGAAGGTTTTCAACATCATACACACGAGCGGCGGAGTCGACGACACCGCCCATTTCTCTGGCCATCATGGAGCAAGAGCTGACAGCGTGCCAATTGGCACGGAAGTTCTTCTTGACGTAGTCGGTCCATTGCTCCAGGGAAGCGTCATATGCCAAATTGTCACCTGGGATGCTCTCACCAGCAAAGTATTTCTTCATTTCACCGGCGTTGGAAAGCTCACGGGCAAGCTTCGAGGCGGCGGCCTGGCCGAGGATATCGAATTCGTTGAGGAAGAACTTGGGGTCATTGGCGTAGCGATTAAGGTAGGGGTCGCCATTGAGGATGTGCACGGAACCGCGAGTGAAGGGAATAAGGTCCCATAGATCAAAGTTGATCTTACCTTCAGTATCAAGGAAAAGTTCCGCGAAGGCAACGTCTTCATTCAGCAGCCAGTCGCGGTAGTTCTCGTATTGGATCTTGAGGGCTGTCACATTGTGGAAGCCACCATTGCGAACTGTTTCCTCTGCCCATTGGTCAAGCTTGGTGCTAAGAAGCTCCGTAGCCTTAGGAGTGTAGTCGCCAAAGGTCTCATTAAATGAGGCAAAGTAAACCGCTTGACCCTGTCCCGCGCCGGAAGCTTGAGCATGGGAGCGGACATTGGTAGTCGTCTGGTCCTGCATGTTGAGACCAACTGGGAGGTCAACAATCTGCTCAACACCGGCGGCACTAAGAACATCCTTCAAACCGATACCAGACCATTCCAGAATCAATGGAGAAATTGCAGATCCAGCTGCAAGCAAGACCTCATGCTTCGCATACACATTGAAGTTGACTTTTCTGTGGGTGCCGAAGTTCAGTCCAGTAGCCTTAGCTCCGGATTCAGTCTTGTTGAGCAGAACCTTTCCGACTTGTTGACCTGTTAAAACTTTTAGATTAGGGCGTTCGTGGTTCGGAAGAAGCCATTCACGTGCAGTGTCTGAACGAGTCTGGTCCTCATGCACAGCGTTGGGGATCATGGAGACACCACGAGGATGACCACAATGGAAATCTTGTTGTCTCGGAACACCACGCTCTGAAGCAGTGTTCATTAGGGCTTTCATGATAGGAGACCATGGCTTGCCGTTATCTCGAGGGCCTGCCTGAACAGTACCATTTGTTCCATGGCAAGCAGGATCGTAATAGTGACCGGCAGCAATTTGAGCTTCGTTTGGCGGGCGAGAGTTTTCAGCTTTCTTCATATATTCGAAGAGGCCCTCCCAGTTCCAACCCTCATTGCCAAAAACTTTCTCCCAAGAATCAATCTGGACTTTGTCTGGGCGAGTCCAGGAACCACCGTTGACCAAGGTCGAACCACCGAGGCCGTTTCCCGATCTGATCAACTCCGTGCGATTGTTGATCGCAAGGGGAACAGTTTGATAGGCTTGATCAACATCGGTACCAAAGATGTCACCATAGGCATTCAAATCCTCGACAATGCTCCCACAGTTGGATTCATAAAAACCCTTTTCAATAACCAGAACCTCAACGTTGGGGTTCTCTGTCAGCTTGGTCGCAACTGTTAGTCCAGTCAAGCCTCCTCCAGCAATGACATAATCAAAGGTCTTCTCGGAGACCTCCTTAGGGTCAGTAATAAGATTGGATTGCACATCAAAATGTTTATCAAGTGAGTAGTTCTGGGCCAAAGTCAGAGAGAAGAGAATGGAGCTGAAGATCGCAGACTTCATATTGAAAGAAAATGCATCAAGAAATGAAAGGAGGAAAGAAGCGAATGGATAAAAGAATGACTAAGTTGGACTTTTCTCAGATAGACCGTGCAGCAACTTGATTCCTTTACATGGAAAGTTGTCCTACGATCGCTATTTATGCGGAGGCCTAAAGATGCTCATTCCTGCTCATAGTTCCCTTAGTATAGCCTCATCTATTGACCACAGATCTTACCCTCACATGATAGATTGTCATTCCTCCCTAAAACTCCTTGGGAACCCTGCCAAGTTAATACCCAGGATTTTAGAGAGCTTAGAACAGACTGAATGATTCTACTAGAGTAAAAGTAGAATTACCACCATCTAACTCAAACACTAAACTGAAACTTAAAACACTAATCCAAGACACTGTTAAGCTAAAACATTTTACTCGTCTTGGCGCCAGGGGGTCGCGAGGCTTCAGCCCCAAGGGCCCATGTCCTAAGACCTTGACCGCTGCCTAGCAAACCACGTTTTGAGACGATTTTGTATCATGTATATACATTTTATAATAGCCATTTATCCTAAATTCTAAGAAATATATCCAAAGGACGCCACTAGCACCGAGGTAAATGTCAGCAACAGAAGGTAACTTCTTGATTGTTCAGGCTTGCGGCTTTGGGCATAATCTACCGTTGTTAGATGATAAGGTACTACTGATACCAATTTCCCTTAGTCTCTCGTGGAACAAGTTAGCGAACCACTATGACTGTCTACAGAGTATTTATGTACATCGGGTAAGGTATTTATATTCTCATTGTGTGAAGACGCACGATATTAGGTATGGCCTATGCACCATGTCTCTTGACAACCTGAACATTCAATTCACCAAAGTAATCCCGAAATGGGCATGGGCGCAGGAGCGTCGCGTGGAACAAGACCTCCGATTGTTTATGCGGAATGATAGTGGGATTGGCAAACATGGATCAACCGTCGCAATAAACAAGACTAGGGTTGGAAATCCCTACGTCGATCATCTCTTAGCGCCGCAGAGACTTTAGCAGTTCAAGTGGGACGCCAAGTCTCCAAGCGGGATTTAAAAACCCTTATCTTATCTGATCAATGCGATCAGCTTTGTGCTTTAGCATATCCATGAGGGAGGAATCATGTTTTTGGTTGATTATATGAACCAATTACATAAGAATATCTAGGACAAGATCGTCTGTTACTGTTGCATATATGTATCTTGATCTGTCATACCCTAGGTAGTGTCGCGAGACTTGCTTTGCGATCTCACCAAACAAAACAGTGTTCTTCGACTATTTGTAGGTTTATTAACGCGGATACTCTACTTTATATAGTGGAATGGTTTTGTTATCGGTGGGCAGCGTGGGCTATAATTTTCGTGGACATTGTACTGTCTGCCGTCATGAGTAAATTATCCATGCAGCAAGGGAGTGAGCACCCCAGTGAAATGTACGTTCGCTGACAGACAAGCATGGCGCTCGCTTTGAGATACTTAGTAAAGGTAATCACGGCAATATACAATGTCTAGTTAACTATCGGGCTTTTAAACTTTACGTATTAAAAATCACATAGTGGGGAACTTGGAGATCCAAAGACAGGGATCCCAGACGAACCCTTATTACTGTGATAGCGGCTAAAAGTGGAACTTCCAGGTCCATTGTGGCAAAGGAGTCACTGCATTATTGTCTCTTATTGGGCTATATATTCTAACCGACTGACAGGAATTATGGAGAGGAAAGGATGTACGAACACCCCCATCGTACCACCGCTATCTTTTAAGGTTCTTATCTCTGCAGTCTGGAAGATCTGCAGAACTTATTTGCTTATTTTATGCGTTATAATCCTCTAGGGTACATAGGTGTATTCGTTCATATACCCACCAAGGAGGCCCTCGCAGTGAGCGGTATTTCTTTTGCCTCAAAGGACTCGTTTACTAGTCATGGTTTTCATGCGTAATACTATACTAGATGAGCCTTCACCATTCAAATAACTAGAACATTGCTGGGCTTTTAGGCCAGTGAGGATCACGTCAGAACAGGCGTCGAAAATTACTAGGTGTGAGATACGTCCTTCATAATTGTAGAGAACGTTTGTGCCTCTCATATATGGGTGGTACTTAGCATTACTTAACATATTTACTGGAAGTTGGTGTTTGGTATGTATTCAGCTTATTGGCACTCAGTACCATTCTTTTGCCACATAATATATATCTACCAGGTTGTCTTTATTTTTAATCGCACATGCAGAACGTTTTGTCAGCAGGTTAACTGAATACGGCAAGATACACTATCAGTACTGTAACAAAAATACCTATATATATATATATATATATATATTTATTTATATTCAGAGACAACAGTAAAGAGGTCAATGATGTGTAGATATTTGGAAGTTTCGGAATGTTCCCGAGATCGAGTACCGAAGTATCACGTCATATAAATCTTATCTCCACTACAGTATTTCCAACATTTCCACCACTGTACCCCGCAATCACATTAACTGGACGAGATACTTCCCTAGCACTGTTTTTATTTCGCTCAATAGAAATTAAAAAAAATTAAAAAAAATTAAAAAAACCTCGTTTAAAGGTATGTTATGTTGCCTGCCGGTATGCTTATGTTCGACGTGACTAAGATAAAATCCAGCTACCCCGCAGAAACCCTGTTATTTCTCGACAATGCCTTTGGTCGCGCAAAATCCCCTGCCAAGGGCCCTTCTTGGTCTTATGACATTCGGCCCCGATGAGTCTAAGGGCGCTCGGATCACGTCTCTCGAAGAATTCAACAAGTGTCTGGACTATTTCCAACAGCAGGGATTCAATGAAATCGACACTGCCAGGATTTACGTCGGCGGGGCGCAGGAGGCCTTTACAGCTCAGGCGAAATGGAAAGAACGTGGGTTAACTCTGGCAACGAAGTGGTATCCTCACAACCCGGGCGAACACAAACCCAGTGTTCTCCGTGAGAAGCTCGAGCTTTCTCTGAAAGAGCTGGGAACAAACCAGGTCGACATATTCTATCTTCATGCTCCTGATCGGTCAGTTCCTTTTGCTGAGACTCTCGAGGAGGTCAACAAGCTCCATAAAGAGGGAAAATTTGTCCAACTGGGTCTGAGTAATTACACGGCATTTGAGGTCGCAGAAATTGTTACCCTCTGTGCTGAGAGAGGCTGGGTGCGACCGACAATATATCAAGCTATGTATAACGCCATCAGTGAGTTGACCTCATACCAATGGACTCTAGAGCCGGTTTCCCTCTCGTTGAACGGTATTGACCGGTGTCACCGTAGCACGTTCGATTGAGACCGAGCTAGTCCCCGCCTGCAAACGTTATGGCATTGATATCGTAGTCTATAACCCCCTTGCTGGTGGTATCCTATCTGGTAAGTATAAGACAAAAGATATCCCTGATGAGGGAAGATACAGCGACAAATCCACCACTGGCGTACCGTACCGCAAACGCTATTTTAGGGATGCAACATTTGATGCACTGCGAGTCATCGAGCCTGTTGTCGAGAAGCATGGCCTGACACTCCCAGAGACTGCGATTCGCTGGATTCACCATCACTCGGCTCTGAACATGAAAGACAATGGTCGCGACGGAATTATCGTCGGTGTGAGCAGCTTCGCGCAGCTGGAAAGTAACCTCAAAGACGTCCAAAAAGGCATTCTACCTGAGGAGGTTGTTGAAGCGCTGGATAAGGCGTGGTTAATCGCTAAGCCAACTGCTCCGGACTATTGGCACCTCGATCTGAAATACACCTATAACACCCAGCAGGCCCTGTTTGGCCCAAAGTCCACAGCATAGTGTACCTTGCTCATAGCTCTCTCTCTCTCTCACACACGCGCTTGATTGGTGTTACAGTGACGTGCCTTAGTCGTTTACTTTTGGCGTGCAGTGTAGAATACTAGTTCTAGAATGCAAAGGAACTGAAATCGGCCCAATAAATAACGTCGCAAAGTCTTTCCAGCCTCCACGCCAACTTTCACGCCAGGTCTTCAGCTCCACAGTATGATTCTAGGTCGTAGTATGGGTAAAGGGCTGGACTTAGCCCCTGCAACATGTGAAAGGATACTTGCATACTGAGATTTCTCGACTGGGAACTCTAACGATCCTCGAGGTCACGAGGTGAGTACATATCTCCGCCTGCAAGAGTGGCGGGCATATTGCGGACATTAGCAGTTCTATACCTCAATCCAAACGAATATGGAGGAAAAAATAATAGCGTCAATAGTATGTCATTAGCTCAGTCCCCTTACATTCTCCCAAGTTCCAGATCTGTGAAATGTGACCTCTTTTCCTGCCACCAAGTAGTAATTATCTCTTCCACCTGAACTGCGTGCATGGTCCTTGCGCAAAATGCTCGGCTACTACCTCGCTCTCCTCTAGAATTCCAATCAAATTCGCAGAGGCTCAATTTTTGCCAGTGACTTGGTCTAATTTTGCCTGCCTGGTTTTCCTCGCATACTGCATGGCCTGGAAAGCACATTCTTGTCTCCCCCTTGCGGGAGGTAGTGAACAACCTCTCGATTCGAATTGATGCAAGGAAGATGGTTGAAGTAACGTGGGGAATGTGACAATCTACAAATGTCGAACCAGACAATTCGACCGATTGGCCATCTGCAGCTCTTCCAGATAAGTAACTGTTGGTAAGGATCATATGTAACACATTGTGCAGGATGCTAACAATAGGATTAACTGCAAGGCATCGTACGCCGTGACACTTGTCGAGGTCATGGCCACTCTTTTGATGATTATGAAGAGCTTGACCAATTGAACAGAAGATATGATTCAATACTGTAAGCCTAGGCTAGCCTGGATGCCACGAAGTGCTCCTCTGGATTTCCATTTCTCTCCACTCGCAAAACGTGCTTTAGGAAAAATGCCGCAGTGACACCTTAACATAGGCTAGTGATGCCTCAGCCCTGAAGACATGCTCAGTAGTATCCAGTAGCGTCTGGACCCTGCCCAAGAGATTCCAGGCTTCCACAATTGCCGGAGGGCCGGTTAGTTGAAGCTGTACCGCTTTCTAACGTCTAATTATCGAATTCGAAGTCTCATGATGCCTTGTGGGACTGGTGGCGGAAAGCGCTGGTGGCATTTGCACACAAATGATGCCCCTTGAGCTTGGTTAAAGTTATTATCACTCATAATGAAGGATGAGGGGCTATAAAAGGAACTTCATGGCCCGGTACAAAATCGAACAAGACAACAACAGCATTGCCGGGAAATCAAGCCAATTGCTGATAGGACTAAAATGCCGGTTGTTATTGCTCGCTCACTGCAGAAGGATGCCATCGCCTCAGCGTGGTCTGGCTCCTCAACAACTTCAGACGTTGAAAAGGACCCCGTCACCTTGACCATTAAGCCTACCGCAGCCTCTGATCATTCAACGCTTGGCGATACCTCTGACGACCGCCGCTTTTGGTTTCAGCGGTCGAAAAGCTATGACCCAAATGCCATCGCAACCCAGCCATCAGTGTTCGATGATCCTGAACTTCTCTCAGAATATAGACCCCGACCAGAATGGGAGAACGTCCACCGCTTTGACCCATCAGCAAGATGGACCTGGGGTGAAGAGAATGTAAGTTGAATTCCAGTTCCGTATGGAAAAGTATAGGTGTAGCCTGACCCTCTTGCAGAAAGCTGTCAGAAGGCTCGACATGCGAATCATGCTACTGGCATGCATGATGATGACAGCATTGGAGCTTGATCGCTCGAATATCCGTATGTGCCTGACCCGTTACATATAGGATTGGCATCACCTAAAGAACTGTATCCACCCAGAGCAAGCCAACGCCGATAATTTCCTATCTGATCTTGGATTATCTAGGAATGGTTAGCATACTCCAGCTCCCAGATGCGGTTTACTCATACAGACTGATTGATTTAACTGTTTCAGACTATAACCTCGGAAATACCATATTCAAGCTATTCTATCTCTTAAGCGAGATTCCTGCCCAGCTTATCGGTAAATGTATTGGTGTCGATCGGTGGATCCCCATACAAATGACCTCGTGGTCGTTGGTGGCTCTCTGTCAGTTCTGGCTGCGCGATAGGACCTCATTCCTTGTTTGTCGGGCCTTGATTGGAATATTCTCAGGAGGGTTTACGCCCACTGTAGGTGACTCTGGCTGCTGGTGTATTTCTTAGATTCTCACTTACAGATGCAGATGATCCTATATCTCTCTTACTTCTATAAGCACCACGAGCTTTCTATCCGTTTAGGGTTCTGGTACTCTGCGCAGGCAGTAGCAGACGTTCTAGCAGGGCTTCTAGCGTATGGTATACTGCACCTACGCGGCCATGCTGGCCAAGCTGGTTGGCGCTGGCTTTTCTTAATCGAGGTTAGTCCGTTCTCCTTTTGGGAAATGCTGCATGAAATTGACTGATCTGTAGGGCTCCTTCACTTTACTTCTCGCCATTCTGTCTTTTCTTTTCCTACCACCGTCTGTAACTCAGACGGCGAGCTGGGCACGGGGCAAGAAGGGCTGGTTTACGGAGCGGTAATTTGCCCTGTGTTTCGACCTCGCGCCTGTACAAGGACGACACTAACTGTATGTGGCTGATAGGGAAGAAGTAATTCTGGTCAATCGGATTGTTCGCGAGGACCCAAGCAAGGGCTCTATGGGAAACAACGAACCCTTAACAGCCAAACTTGTGTGGCAGAGTTTCAAAGATTACGATCTGTGGCCACTCTACATGATTGGTCTTATATTCTTGGTGCCATACAGTAAGTATATCGCTCTCTATAGCACTTGTGCGTTTGTCATACAGTATGGAACCCAACTAACTTTAATTGTCTGACCAGCAACGATTTCCCAATACTTTACGCTATTAATGACTGATTTTGGGTTCGGGGAGTTTAATGTCATCCTGCTCGCCATTCCATGCAGTGTAAGTGGGCCAAACAGTATGCCACTATAGAGCTACCTGGCAATCCGCTGACCAATGGGCAGGTCATAGGGATTGTAACTAGAATCATTCTTACCTACGCCTCTGAGATCTTCGGGTCCCTTGCATGGATGGGAGCTGTGGCCCAAGCCTGGACCCTCCCAATGCTTATCTATATGAATGTAGTCGATTTCAGTCAGACCAAGAGATGGGTTGCGTGGACGGTCCTCACCTTGATTCTTTCGCTCCCTAGTCGTATGTTCGATAGCTTCACCCAAAACCGTTTCTATCAGATCAAGACTAACGGCTATGTGTTCTTAGCCCATGCACTCCAAGCGGGATGGAACTCTCGCAACTCCAATAGCGTGCGGTCCCGGGCACTATCAGCGGCTATGTATAATATGTGCGTGCAGCTATCCGGGATAATCGCGTCGAATGTGTACCAAGATTGTGAGTGTGACGAGTCCGAAGCCATTCACCAGGATATGGCGCTCGAATTCCTTGGCTAATTAGGCAACCATTCCAGGGGATGCTCCTCGCTATGTGCAGGGCAACCGAGTGCTTCTCGCTCTGGCCTGTACCAACATCGCTGTGTACGCCGCGACCAAGGCCTACTATATACTGCGTAACCGTCACCGAGATCGGAAGTGGACGAGGATGACGGAGGAGCAGAGAATTGACTACATCGCGACCACGAAGGATACAGGGAATAAGCGATTAGATTTTCGGTTTGCGCATTAACTAGTTAGTTAGACAAGACGAAGACATGACTAATAGGAAACGTAATAGATGCTTGGCCTTGGAGACTAGAATGAATAAATTGTATGCATGCTTCATCGTTTTATGTATGCAGCGTCAGTTCACCGATTCGGGCCATTGAGGCAGATTAGTCAAACCCGCCAAGACTCCTGACCAAATATAGAAAGTGATCAGGCGTCCCACCCGGAAATCACGTGTGGCTTCTCCGCCACGACCCCAAGGGGTTTAGCGGGCAACCCCGTTTCTGGAATCCTCAAATCATTCGCTGCGGACGGCCACAGGCTCACGTACTACTCCGTACTCCGACTACATTTGAGTTGACCTTCAACTTGTCCTGTCCTTTTGAATTCCCTTAAACTCGAAGTTTCCCTCCGCCTCCCCTTACATGGTGTCATTCCGCCTCCTGCGCCATTAGTACCACAACTAAGAACCTTTCTTTTCCCGCTTTTTTCCCTCCTCTTCCGTCATTCGAATTACCATATAGAAACCCAGTGCGAAGACTTGGCGCAAACGTGGCCGCAGCAAGCAACAATCCCCTGGCGGTTTTGTTATTTATGAGCTGCAGGTCCCCGAACAAAATCTCCTAATCTACTCTTCCTCGAGAAAGTGGTAGATGCCGATTCCGATCCTTATGCTTTGATTACTGTCCAACTCTCTCGTTTTTGTATAAGTTCTATGGAGGAGACTGCGTCCGCCTCGGCATTCCCCTCGTTACTCTATCCGTCGACATAAAGCAACGCCGACCTCCGATTTGATTGAACAACCCCCTTACCTTTGTCTTTTCCGGTTGGATCTCCTGCGCACAGGATCCAGTGGTTGAGTGAAGGTTTTTACTCTTTTTCCTATTTCCTTTGTATTGCGGAAGATTGAGACATGGTGGCTTCAGATAGTTCGCACCTGTTGGGGCAGGAGGAGGTCAGGGACACCGAGCCGGTTCTCGACGCCCCCGATTCCGATGAGGAAATGACCACGAATCGACCCCCCATGCACCGGTCCGTTACGGACGGCCAGTCGCAACAACCGCTACTAAAAGATGAGCACCGGCGATTATCCAATGCCAGCTTCGGTAATGGTGCTGCTTCGGAAGGCAGGCCTATGCTGCATCACCATACACGAAGGCCGACGGTCAGGAGTAGTGGTACGGAACATAACGCAGAGCAGGATACTCGGCGAAAATACATCATTGCATCCGGTTTTCTCTTATTGAGTTTGGCGAGTTTCGTGATACAGACCGAGACTGCGGTATATATCGCGGGTGAACTGGGCTGGGATAAGCCCTACTGCATGCTGTAGGTTTCGCTGTTCAGATCTCCAATCTTCATTGTTTCCACACATTTATTGTTCAGTGGCTGACGTCTGCATAACTGACTCGCAGTTACCTTACACACGGGTCGTGGTCCCTTCTCTGGCCAGTCCAACTCCTTATTCTTCGGTTGCAGAAGAGGAAACTCTCCTGGGACGCATTCTGGCGACGTCATGTCTTCCTCCTCCGGACGACCGCACAGATGGTCGAGTCTCAAGATATGCACGTAGCCTCCCGCCGTTCCCCGATTCCATACATGCTCAAGACCACAGCATTCGTGACAATGTCCCTCACCGTTGCAGGCGGCTCATGGTACCTGGCTGTCAATATGACGACAGCGAGCGACTTGACCGCCATCTACAATTGCTCCGCCTTCTTTGCCTATGCATTCTCCATCCCACTCCTCAAAGACAAACTTCGCTTCGATAAGGTATTTGCCGTAATTGTGGCCATTGTGGGCGTTCTCGTGGTGGCATATGGAGATAGAGACGAAGACAAGCATGCGGATGGCACCCCGGGTAAAGGAGAAGGTCAAGTAAGCAATAGGCTTTTGGGCAATCTTATCATCGGTATCGGTAGTATACTCTACGGCCTGTACGAGGTACTTTATAAGAAGTACGCCTGCCCCCCGGAAGGCACCAGTCCCGGACGCAGCATGATCTTCGCAAATACATTCGGCAGTCTGATCGGATGCTTCACTCTATTCGTGCTCTGGATCCCCCTACCTGTCCTCCACATCTTAGGCTGGGAAACCTTCCGTTGGCCCACCGGAGAAACCGCCTGGATGCTCCTCATCTCCGTCTGTGCCAATGCCAGTAAGTCCACATATATAATGAAACCCATCACCCGTCCTAGTAAACCCCCCCAAGTAAATCCAAAACCAACCCAAACCACAAAGAGAATACCAAGAAACAATTACATACAAAAACGAAAAGAAAAACTAACCATGCATTTAATCCACCTAAACAGCCTTCTCGGGATCCTTCCTAGTCCTCATCTCCCTGACCTCCCCGGTTCTCTCCTCCGTCGCCTCTCTCCTCACCATCTTCCTTGTCGCCATCGTCGACTGGCTCCGAACAGGCCAACCCCTCTCCACATCCTCCATCATCGGCGGCGTCCTTATCATCGCAGCTTTCTTCCTTTTAAGCTGGAGTACCTACCGCGAAATGAACGAGGAGACGAAGAAGTGTCTCGAAAACGAACAAGTCGAATCTGACAGCGACGACTAGATTTCGTCCATGTCTCGTTAACCGGATATATCCGGCTATGTCTTGTTCGTTGACTGTTGTTTCGATTTTTCTTCTTCCTTTCTTACTTCCTTTATATGTTTATTGCCATTCGTTGGATGCGTCATATTATAGAATTGGTTACTACCTTTTCCTTTATTTGTTACATGGCGGAGTTGATTAGAGTGTTCGAGGTTTCGCCTACCTTTTTGCTTTGTCAATGTACATTTTTACTTCCATTCTTTGTCTTGTACTTTTGTTTCCTTTCTTGTTTTTACTGGGATAAAGTGCTGTGTTCGGGGTATAGGAGTAGGGGAGTTTTGAAACTTCTCTCCCTTACGGGGGGTGCAAACCATGCAATATACATACTACTTCAATAAGTATACATTCGACGATTAGGGTCGGGGGCGTCAATGCAAAGGCTCGGCAGACTCGATCAAGTTAGTCTGGTTTCTCTATACTAGGTACAAGAACAGGAAATGTAGGGCGCAGTGCACGCTGTCCTTAGATCCCTATATGACATGAACATCAAGGGCGATCTCCCAGAGATAAGAGGATGCTGTACATGGGCAGTAAGGAAGGTGTTTGAATAGAGTAGGAAAAAAGGGGGAAAAGAGGTGAACAACGGTTTTACGTTTATCTGGGTCCAAGCTTGTCCAAGGCACGAGCACCCTGCTCTTGCCATTCTTGCTTGGTGACCCACATATCCTCCTTGTCGGCGATCTGAGAGATAGTTAGATGATCTGAGCTTAAATTGTATATAAGCATGAATAAGGTCCAGGCACTTACCAGATTAGCGAGGACAGCACCGCCCAGGAAGACCATGTGCCTCCGTCTTGGCGGATCCTCAATCCGCACCTTGAATTTCTGGACTAGAGTTAGCGTATATCTCCTGTAAAACATGTTATTAAACATACGTTCAGCCTCTCCGGGTCTCCGTGCAGTACACGTGTGAGCCACAACTGCTTAAGCTCCTTCTCCAGTCGTGATGGCAGACCAGGGTACATGCTGCTTCCTCCACTTAGCACGATAGCCTTGTACAAGCTAGAGCGAACATCCACATCGGCGCCCTGAATGGTGTTGAAGAGCATTTCGGCGATACCGGGCTGGTCCACGTCCACAAGGTGCGGCTGGAAGAGACACTCGGGGGCCTCAAAACGCTCACTTCCTACACGAATGACACGACCGTCGGGGAGAGTATAGGACTCGACAAGAACGGTTGTGTCCTCTGAGAGCTTCTTGTCCAACTCTAAATCATAAGAAACGTAGCAAAGTTTCTCCTTAATCTGGCGCACTGTCTCGAAGTCGGCCGTACGGTTCAGGGCATAACCGCGGCGAAGGAGGAGGGCGATCATGTTACGGGTGACATCACGACCCGCGACATCCAATCGACGGATATGGTGGTTAAGGACGGTAGATTCGTATACCGGGATAATATGCGTAACACCATCACCGGAGTCGACGACCACACCGCTGCTAAGACCTAGTAGACCACATAAGCTGCTTGCGCTGCCGCGTAAAGGGGAATCCTAGCACATACCCTGGGCGTATAGTGCAAGCACAGCTTGGATAGCGACGTATACACCACCGAAGTTATAGCCTTCCAGCATGACCTCGGCCATCTTCTCGCGGTTCTTTAAGGGGTTCATAGGGGGTTCGGTAAGGAGGATTTTGCGACCGGTGGGATCAATGCCCAGCTTCTCATAAAAGGTAAAGTTCCATAGGTGTTGCATATCATCCCAGTTCTTCACTATTCCATTTTCCATCTATCCATTGGGCACAGATCAGCAATTTGGGGGCGTACAATCAGAAAGTGACAATGAGCCGCGGGGAGGAGACGTACAGGATAGCTGATCTGAAGCATTGATCTAGCAGCGGCAGCTTCATCTCCGCACATGATATCCTTCACAACAATGTCGCCGGCCTGTTCCTCAGTTCGCAGTATGGGCCGCCCCACTATTGAGGGGAACTGGTGCTCGGGGAAGTTCTAATAGATGGCAACAAAGTAAACAAAGAGCTCTTTGAATATTGTAAAGACCGTGCAAGTGGAAGACATACCTGCGCAGCATATCCGACCTTGAGGAAACCGGTTCCTCCGTCGAGCACTAGATGTACGGGTTAGTTGACGGGACGGGAGCAGCAGGCAGTAGCTGTCAGGAGCGGAGGATGAAGCTTACCAATGGGCATGTCCGCCATGGTGTTGAATCCGAATCACAATAATAAATGCTTAAACAATTCCAGAGTAACAAACAAATGCGATTATAGGTATGTAGTCCCGGGGTGGGGAGAAAACTGGGGGGGAAGTAATAGAGATATGAGGGGAAGGGGAAAGAGCAACGTTATTGGGAATGCGTGGCTGATGGACTGGCGGTGCACGTCAAGTCAGTCGTCACTGCTGCCCGTTCGTGGAATGCCTGGATGCCTGAACGCCCGATATATTAAATCAGATCTGGGAACTGTTACTCCGTACTCCTCGTCCTTTGTTCCGAGACATACTAAAGCCACTATCAATCACAATAAATAGACTGAGAATAACGATCTGTTCCGCATGACTGATTTAGCAAAATGTTTTCTTCTTGGTTGTGTACTTGAGGGCCAGATTGGGGGTCAACATCCACCACTAGCCCCTTGCCACAATCCTCAAACGAATGATAGGATGGAGGCTGAAACTTCATGTATGAACGCTCAACATAGTATACCGCGGATGTCTATAATTATGACCAGTCAATGAAAACCATTCTCACGGTAAATGACTAGACTACCCTGTCGCAGTTGTCCGCCCGGTATCGGGACCGCCCGGTTATCGATTATCGTTAAGAACACCCCTACTCTAGCTCATAACCTCTCATATCCTGCTCTACAACTTCAACTTACCCCCTGTAGCTGTGTATTTGATCACACATATCCTTGACTCTAGAGTCTATTGTATCGTCAAACATGACTCGTATCGGTTGGGTATGTTCAACCCGACAGCCCAACAACAACAACAACAACAACAACAACATTACTGACCTATACAAAATAGTATGGCCTAGGCTCCATGGGCCTAGCCATGGCCACCAATCTCCAAAGACACTTAGCAACCAAAAATGCCATGAATCTAATCTACTCGAACCGGACAATGGCACGCGGGGACCCCCTCAAAACCCTAGGTGCTACGCCAGAGACCAGCTTCGCCAAACTAGTCGGTCAATGCGGGATCATCTTCACCATGGTGCGTACAATCCCCTTTTCCTCCCAAAACATTCACATTCCCTAGAGCTAACACAAAAAAAAAGGTCTCCAATGACTCAGTCCTCCAACAATTAATTACATCCGCCATTGGATCGGGGTACTCTCTCCGCGACAAGATCTTCGTGGACTGCTCGACCGTCCACCCCGAAACGGTGGGTCTAACTGTCTCTAAGCTGAGAGAACAGCAAGCGTCTTTCCTAGCGGCACCTGTGTTCGGTGGCAATCCGATCGCGGTGGATGGAAAGCTCGTCTTTGCCATTGCCGGGCCGAAGAAGGCCTCGGAGGTGGTCAAGCCGTTAATTCAAGATGTTATGGGTCGCAAGGTTATTGATTGTGGTGAGGATGCGACTAAGTCTTCGCTTTTGAAAATTGCTGGGTATGAGCTACCTTTTACTTCTTTTTTTCACGCGGTAAGGGAGCAATGCTGATGAATACCAGTAATATCGTCACTGTTAATATGATGGAAGCCGTCGGAGAAGCCCAGGTTTTCGCCGAGCGTACTGGATTAGGCACTGGTCCGATGGAAGAGCTCATCGGCGAAGCTTTTGGCGCTGTGGCTGGTGGATATTCGAAGAGGTGGTGTACCTTGGAATCCTTATTGATGTTTGTACATCGCTGACCTGTTACAGATTGACAACTGGTGCGTATGCGCCGCCGCTGGAATCTCGGCCTGGATTTGGTGTGTCTCTTGCTATTAAGGATGCGAACCATGCATTTGCCATGGCTAAGGAGCATAATGTTGAGCTTCCCGGTCTGAAGGTTGCGCATGAGAACATGGTTGCTGCGAGGGAGTATGCTGGTGAATGTCTGGACAGCAGCTCAATGTATGGCGTTCTGCGACAGAAGGCGGGAATGACTTTCTGGAATGAAAAGAGTCGGAAGGAGTGAAGTTGAAATTGGCCATAAGAGGGATGGACTCATTAATGAGTTGGACAATAGATTAATTGCTGAGCGTGGATAAACGCAGAATATAGTTCTCTGGTTTTTATTACTACGATGTAATGGACGGCAGACAAGGCGGTATCAAATAAAACACAGTTGCATTTGGATTTGACTATCTAAATGTTTGAAATCTAACTGCTGCCACAACAACCTCTAGTCTATGATACCAGCTCTAGATCTACGTTCGGTGTTTCCGACAAATCAGGAGAATTCTAAGCCCGATCTTTCAGAACATCAAGCGGCTGAGGCGATCGTGTTCAGAAGTTCTATTGCTACGATGCTATATCCCGAATGTCAGTATGTTTACCGTCTCTCCATACACTGTATAGCCAGCATGACTCGGACAACTTATCCCGCTTTTCAGGCAGTTATAGTGCAAGTATCCGAGTGACATGGCAACATGGTAAAGTAGTCAAGGGTTAGAGACGAAAACAAACGAACCCCCCCCCCCCCCAAAACACCAAACGAAGGACGAGAGACAAGGAGATGCCTAGAGAATGTATAGAAGATGCTCTCAAATATGTATCACCCGCCTGAGCCTTTTTAGGCCACAATTGGTCAAAAATATATTTAACAGAATTCCACCCGATTATCTATCTATACGGTGGCTGCCCAGCGAAGATCAACCCGTGGTGAAGATACGGCTATGGCTGGTTCTTAATTCTGGCTGTCTCCGCTAAGGACGGATACGCTTCCGCAAATGCTGAGCCGAGACTCCAATTGTTGAGGTTACGTAGATGCCTTTCGAAGACGGGGTTGATGATCAGGTCATCGTTATCCCCCGTCGACAAAAGACAATCAGTTTCCTCATATGGCCAGTTGACTGACAGTGTACGCGTAAAGGGTATAAACCAATTGTCAAAAGGGTAGTCCTGGTGTGCCATCACTACGCGATCGCGCATCCGCGGCCATGGCAGGTAGTCAATCCAGGCGGGGTGTGGTGTTAAAAGCTGTGATGGGCGCGGAGTCAGCCATTCCGGTACCCGATCATAATTTTCAGGCGTTGGATAGATCTGCCACCGCATAAGAAGGAACATGACATATAAGACAGCGACTTGCTCCGGAAGGGAAGAAATATCCGGAAAGGTGCGCAGGATATCAGTGAACACCTTTGATAACGGATGTGAGTAAGCGCCTCTTTCTGGATTGAGCAGGGAGGAGACACTGGGATAAGGGGGCCCCACTAGTTTTTGCTGGGGGACCCCTGAAGCTGCTTCGCGCTGTCGATGGTGGAGAAAGTCCAACAGGATGGCATCCAGCGTGCAGGTTGGTGCAATGTTTCGGATTGGCGTCATATAGGCGGGTAGAGATTGCTCCGCCATGGAGCCGTGGATCGGCGATGGGTAGGCTGGAGGAGCGTTCATTGGGGGAGTTCGGAAGTTCCCCGGCGAGCGGCGGAAGCCCTCCACTTTCGGAACTTGTTGGGATGCATCAAGTAGAAAGTTAAAGGCCATCCTTTCATCGCTCCCAAAATCTAATCCATGCGTTAGATTATGCCGCTGATAGTCGAACGCAATGCGAAATGAAGCTGACGGCCCATTTGTGGAGCTTTCGCGCCGGATGGTGCCTAACAAAGGCGCCGAGTGTGTGGATGAGGGAGTTTCAATCCTCGCGGAAGCCTCAGAATAGGAATGGTCGACATTGTTTGGCTTGGTGTCGCTAAAGTAACTGGTTTTTGAAAACGGTGGTGCTGTAGACAAAGGGGGGCCCGAATGCGTGCCCGAGGGAGCAGCTGCAGAGGCGGGAGGATCTGGAGGCGCCTATTTAGCTCTAAAGATCCCTGAGATAATGGTGGGTAGTTTGACTGCACCAATGGCCAGACTTACTAGCACTAGACGCTTCGTGCTTTCCAACTAAAGGCCGAATGACATCCATGATCGCCTTCAACCCCTGTTTGATGTCGCGGTTCTCGGCTTGAATGGCTTCATTTTGCTTCAGCGCCGCCTGAAGATCCAAAAATGGCTTCTGAGAAGACAGCTCGCGGACGCGGTGTTCCAGCGAATCGATATGAGCTTTGGTTCTCTCGCGAATTGCCCGTTGGGCCTGTCGGTCGTTGGCTCGTTTCTTCGCCAGCTGCTCGGGAGTGAGATTGGCTACACCTCTTGCGGAACTACTATTCAACTTGCGTTTCCGCCCCGCCGGCCCGCCATTGTCTGGCGCCGGTGTTTCTGCATCTGCATCTGCGTGCGTCGACGCGGATGGCGTAGGAGAATCCTCCAGTTTCACATAATCTGTGTCTAAATTGACCGGGTCGGTCGCGACTGGAGTCTCCCGGGTTCCCGAGGAAGAAGAGTCGAGGGCCGAGGAAGGGGCCACATCATTCAGAGGAGGCAGGCGATTAGCCATGACCTCCTTCTCAAGTGGTTATCGAAACGTAACGGCCATTCAAGACGGCCGGGAAATTTAGAGAGGGAGTTTCCAGGATAATACCTGGATCAGCAAGAGCTCAAAAAGGTTCAGCATCGATGTCGTAAAACGAAAAGAAATGATTGTGGTGTGGCCGTGTGAGAGAAGAACGATACTTTTTCAGCCGACGACGTTTCGGCATGACTACGAGTCTGGAACAAGTGGAGTCCCGCTGAACTCTATCGTTAGAACCCTTGTCAATGTCACCTCAAAAATGCCGGGAGGATTCTCAAGACAAATTAATTGTCGTAATTGATTTGATCTCTCCCGCTGAAGAGTACCGGCAGTGGCGCTGCCGATCGATCGGGGGCAATAAACGAACTTCAGTGAGAAAACAAGGGCAACAAACAGACGAGCGGTTATGTATGTTAGGTATGTATAAAACCAAGGGGTGGGAACATTCACATGACAATTCGCCAGTTTTGCCTCCTTTATTTTACAATACCAAACGTATTAAATTGTATATGGCAGGGTCCTTAGCATTCCAATCCTGAAGCCAAAAGCTCGAACGGTCACTCCCAAACCCCGGTAACGCATCACAGACAATGCCCAATCTAGTAATATATCATGATGCCCCAAGACGTAGTCCGACGTAATACTAGGCAAATGATCGTATAGAGAATGCCAAATATGAGAGATATACAGCACCGTAGATAAGACAAGCAAGCATACAAGAGCCCCTTTATACAGCAAAAAGCAGGAAAGCATCGAAGCGACAGCACCTCCACGTAAAACTCATCGGGAAAATCGTGTAAGACATAAAAGCAAGAAAAGGTTGGGATTGGATAATTTATTGGAGCATGTGACCCATCTTCGAGATCTGTTGTGTTTGCCACGTTAGCATTCCTCACATCGGAGTCATTGGAGGGAAAACCGACCTTTGTCCGCAAGTAACCCTCGACTTCAGAGCTCGTAATTCCCATCTTTCCGCCTGTTCGCCAGGCCAAGGGAACCATCGGTACTCTTTCCTTCACAACAACTTCCCGGTTCGGTCCCTCGACCGCTCGGATCTTGTCAGGGTTGTTTGTAAGGAGGCGGATTCCATGTGGGTTGGAATCGACACCTAGGCCAAGATCCGCCAGCATCGCTGTGGCAAGGCCATAGCTTCTGGCATCTGCAGGATGTCGAAGGAGTAAATTGGCTTCAACGGTATCTGATCCAAGGTCTTGAAGATTATACGCTTTAAGCTTTTCTCCTAGGCCGATCCCGCGGCCTTCCTGGCGGAGGTAAATGATCACGCCTCCAGATGCATTCGAAGGTACAGATAATTCTTGCTGGGACGCCACCTCATTCAAAGTTTCCATCGGGAGAGACATCAAGCGTGCCGCCTCGTCGAGCTGTTCACCACAATCACAGCGTGCGGACCATGCCGTTTCGCCGGTGTAACATTCCGAATGGATTCTAACCAGCGGTGCTTGGTTTGTGTTACTCTGCGCTAACTCTGGTGTCTGTGATGAAACAGGGGCACCTGGGGTGCTCCGCTCTTGTCCACTAGAAGTGCTCTCGGTATTTGTGGAACTATCATACCAACTGCTCACTCGGCCGGGACGGAGGGTACCGATGTATGCCCCACGGATCATTCGGTCCATTTCCGTCTCCCCCGGACGGACTGCATCCAAACTTCGGGATCGAATACTGTTTCCGAATACAATTGCTAAATGCTCTTTGTTGTCTAAGTCATTGTGGTAGAGGTGAAGGAACATCTCAGCTCCATTGGTGGTTGGGATTCGTGCGCGAACAATACACTCAACATTTGGAAGGCAGGAGAGGAGCTTAGGGGGTTTAGTGTGCGTGGGTTGTTGAGTCTGCTGAAGTAGTTGCGCTTGGTTTATCGTGCCACCTGGTGTCGCTGGAGGTGTGAAGGAAGGGGAGAGAAGAGAAGCGGGCACTGCGGGGGTAATATCGCCTCGGGTGTGCTCTGTGGCGTCAGTTTGATTTGCAGCATCACCACGGAGCTCGCCTATTCTGTTGTTCAATGACGTTGGAGCCACGGAGGTTGAGTCCAGAGGTATATCATCGACAGCTTGATGAGAAGAAGAGGCCTGCGCCGTGAATGTCGGCGAGGCATGAGATGGTAAGTTCGACATGGCACAAAGGAGTAATGCGATTGCGAAATCAGGTTAAGAATAAGGGTGAGTAAGCGACCATATACATATGACGGGGACGAAATTAATGGATAACAAAGCACGGTCAATGGTTAGTCAGACGTTAGGACAAACGCATGCTCAGAAGATCGGACATTTGTACGGAGTATGATAACTTTCCCATGCATGTATCTCCCTCGGATCCGCGGGAATGACACAGCACTGGGCGGCGCATTGGGGCGGGGGCTGCAGCATGTGGCTGACTCAGGATTTCCATTAGTCAGGCCTTACGGGTAGCATTAGTCAGGTGCCCGTCCAGGCTCTCGCATCCAATGAACTACCAATCACTCAGCTGATGACAGAAAATCCCCCCATTTTGTCTCAAAATTTTCTCTACTCAAAAGTCTCCTTTTCCCAAAAAATTTCCAATTGTCCATTAATTCCATTGTTCCCCGATTTCAATGACTGCGGAACCTTTCCATCCCACACCTCGCCGATAATCCAATTGACGATCGCACTTTATCGCAGAAATCCCATTCTTATCGCGGTTGAAAATCGACCAAACTTTATCGGTAGAATGCTCTATTCACTTCCATCTACACCGTACACTGTAACTATACACTTATTAATTACCTAACAAATTGTCATCTCCGGGTGATTTTACTTTGAAATTTAGAAATCCCGCCTTAAGATCGGCGTCCTATTGGAACATGATACCCCCATTGACTTATTTCGCAATAGAATCTGAATTATGATCTACTTGGCGTTGCCGACCCTAGATGGATCAAGCTTTTTGCTGGCCATTGTAAGGGAATCGATGCATGGAATGCTTGAGCTTAGCAAGTTGCAAATTAGTCAGTTTGGTCAAGACTATCTATTCCTTGGTAGTACTATACTATTCAAAGTTGGCCAACTCAACTATCAATAGGGAGGACGCTTCTATTCCATTCCAGACTCTTTCCTTGAAATTGTATCAATTTGGTTCAAAGGGTATCATCATAATCACCAAATACTCAGGATTCGAATATGCAGTATTTGTTGTCGTGTTCGCTCTTCATCGTCTTTATTTTTTATTTATTTATTTTTTTTTTCATGTAGCCTTTGGCATTTCTCTGCTTCCTTTACTTTCCGGGGATGTCAAGGACAAACCTACGGTCCACTTCCATCTCCTTGTCATCTTCTTCGCCTTCAAACTTGAGACGGTAGGTGTCTTTTCTGGACCCCATCACCTCTGCCCGGTAAAAAGTCGTAGTATCCGGGTATCTTGCCAGAACTTGTTTTCCTACTGAAAAACTTGGTAATGTCGAGCCAACTTGCGGGATTGGGATTAAAGACGCAGCGGTGGTTTTGTAAACCGCTCCCTGTTCGCCATTTTCATTCGGCTCAGGATCCTGTACATCATACCTTAAACGGGGTATCGGTCAGTTCAGAGGTAAGGACGCCCGGGGTCGTCATGCCATACCGCTTCTTATGTCCATCTCCAGAAATCCCTTTGATGATGCACTGGATCCCCTCACCTTCGACCCCTTGCTTGTTCTTGTTGTGTTTGAAGACTACTTCGGCTCCAACCACCAAGTGTCCATTGCGCTCGGCGAGTGTACCCTTGGTGCCTTCCGTGCCTTCCTCCACTTTAACGTGAACATCTCGACTGTCACGGCTGTCACGAGCCTGGTTGCTGGACACACTGGAGCCACGCTGGATGCCCCCCTTAATACGACCAGCTTTGTCCGGTAGGGAGGCACCTGAAGGCCCCGGCGAGTCAGTAGCTGACCCATCCACGTCATTTCTCTTTTTACGAGATTTCCCAAGAGCAGCCGCACGGTTAAGTGGCGCCTCTGCCTCAGATGCCTGACGAAGTGCGGTCAGAAGGCCCAAGTTCTTGATCACATCACTCGGTTCATCTTGAAGAATGGCTCTCTCATCTTCACAAAGCTTGAGCATTTGCCGATATAGACTATCCAGCTGGTTATGCTCATGTAGACTCGGCTCTGTGGACGACAATTAGCATGTGCTAGCTACTGAATATGATCTAGCAAGCCCACAGCGTAATAAACTGGCAAACAGGGTAATGAATTGAGACGGTTTATGCAGCTATGATCCTTGATAGCATGGCATCACCTGAGCGCCAAGGGGCCGGATCATGAAAGCGGAGACCCAGATATACTCTTTTCCCGAGGTATTCGATGTAGAAACAAAAACAGAGATGAGAGGGGAGATACTTACTCCCACCATCCTTGCCAATCTTCTCATTCAACGCAGATATCTGCTCGGCTAATGACTTCTGCTTATCGTTCTTCTCCTTTGCCTTTCGTAGATCCTGGAGGATCTTGTTCCACATATCAGTTTCCTCATTGGCCGCGAGACCATTGTCCCTAGGCAGCGGAGGGCCCCTAGGACGATTCCGTGACATCTTGGATGGAGGTGTGCTGGGAGGTGCAACAGCAACTGGGCGCTGTTGCGGACTTTTACTGTTTCCGGATGAGGTTGCAAGCTCCCCGGTTCTAGCTTTCTCAATGGTCAAGGCCTCCCAGGAAAAAGCGGAGATAATGTCTTTGCGACGCGCGCTTCGCGTGCCACGAGCCGCACCGTGGCGGAGATCGTGCGGGCGACTAAAGGAGCTCAGAGGTGAGCTTGGAGTCTCTTCAGTAGGATACTCGCCTGGTTCGAGCTGGAGCGGAGACGATAATGGTTCCCCGACCTGGCGGCTATCGCTGGCGGAGTTCCCATCGCGGTTAAGCGGTAAGCGCTTTGCTGGCCAATGCACGCCGTCATTGGTGCTCCCCATTTTAGTCACGGGAACGCTTCCGGTCATCCTAATCAGGTATAGTAATTACTAGTAGGATTATGGATGGAGGGGCAGAACTGGAAGGGAAAGTGGGTTGACTTCTTGGAAAGACGGGACTTGGAGAGGGAAGGAGAAAGTTTTAAAGCAAGAGAAAAGACTCAACTTTTCTCCTCTTCTTTTTCTTCTTCTTCTTCTTTCTCTTTCAAACACCTTTGAGTGAATCATCAGACCCTTTGGGGTGCTCTTGCCTAATCTCGTCTCCTGTGTTTACTTCTTGACCCTCTGGCATTCACTCAATCCTTCCTGTTACGTCACGCTCTACAAAATGCAGGTGCCTTTGCTTCGACTCCAGTGTGGTATGATTTCTTTGGAATTTGGCCTGTCTATGCCCTCCTTTTCATGAATACTAATCACAGCGCACACGTACAGGTGTCAACAGTTATGACTGGGGTACATAGAACCCTACGAACATCCTGAATCTATAAGTTGCTGAGTATTACCTTAGGCAAGATTGGTCAGGAGTCGGCAGCTGCCCGCTATGCAGCTACAACAGCTGCGCCAGACTTCTCCATAGAATCGGAGAAACCCTATGCAGAGGTCAATTCTAGACTACTTACCGATCACACGCAATCGCTAACTTCCATCTATAGTTATGGATGGGCACGCACCCTTCACTCCCTTCGAAAGACGTCGAGACTCAGCGAACCCTCCTCGATATGGTCCAGGACAACCAAGCTTTGCTATCCAAGGAGGTTAGCGAAAAATACGGTGGAAAATTGCCATTCCTCTTCAAGGTGCTTTCTGTCAACAAAGCCCTCAGTATTCAAGCGCACCCGAACAAGAAGCTTGCAGAGAAGCTCCATGCCAGAGATCCTCGCAACTACCCTGGTACATAATAGAGCTCACGCATAACGATGGCTAATTGTACTCCGGGTTTACTAACGTGGTCTTGGCAGATGACAACCACAAGCCCGAGATGACCATCGCAATCACCCCGTTCGAAGGACTTTGCGGTTTCCGCCCCTTAGCGGAGATTTCCCATTTCCTCAATGCCGTGGCGCCCCTCCGTCAGTTGATTGGAACGGATATAGTCGACCAATTCCTGGGCGCAGTTAAAGGCTCCGAGGGTTCGGAGGATCCCACTGTCATGCAGAAAAACAAGGATGCATTGAGGACCGTGTTCACGGCGCTGATGAACTCATCGTCCGAGAACATCGAGACAGCTACAAAGGAGCTCACGGCTGCGGCCCAAAACTCCCCGGAAACATTTGGCACCTCTGCGAACACCCCAGAGACAAACCCCAGTAACCCAGCGGAATTGGCTGCTGTCATCACACGTCTCAACGGGCAGTTCCCCAACGATATTGGCCTGTTTGTGTTCTTCTTCCTCAACTTCGTCAAGCTTGCGCCGGGAGAGGCCATGTTTTTGAAGGCGGACGACATTCATGCCTACGTGTCCGGCGACATTATCGAATGCATGGCGTCTTCCGACAACGTCGTGCGAGCTGGCTTCACCCCCAAGTTCAAGGATGTGGAGACTCTGACCGACATGCTGACATACTCCTATGCTCCAATTGAGGAACAGAAGCTAGAACCCAAGGAATACCCGTACGTAATTCTGAATGCGTCCGCATACTCAAGCGCCTCCTCGTCCATGCTCTATGACCCCCCAATTGAGGAATTTAGTGTGGTGAAGACCGATCTCAAGCGAACTGGCGCCAAGGCTACTTTCGACGCGTTGGGAGGACCTAGCATCCTAATCTGCACCGGAGGCACCGGAAAGATCACCGTCGGCCATAAGACAGAGGAAGTGAAGGAGGGCTATGTCTTCTTTGTCGGTGCCGATGCCGAGTGTATCATTGAGAACACTGGTTCTGGAGGTGAGGAGGAAAGGGTGTTGACGACCTTCAAGGCATTCTGTGATCTAACCGGTAAGGAAGACATGGTGAACGGCCACTAAACTATTTACTTAACAGCAACGAATGGATGTAAAATTAATTACAGCAATATGACTTATAATACTTTCCCTCTTGCCATGAACCAAAACAAAGAAACAGATCTGTAGCTCAGTCGGCCCGCAACAGCCGAGGTAAGCTGATCAACATCACATACCCTTTTCAAGATCTACTTCCAGCTGCGGGGAATTCAGGCCATCCATCCATCCATAGCTTAATCTTTCAGCTCCGGCATTTCACTCACCTCTCGATTCCCTTTCCTTCTCCACACCCATTCAATTCTTTTCTCTTTCCCTTAACACCCCCCTTCACGTATCAAGCTCCACACCTCCTACCAAAATGACCTCCACCTCAATCTCCCTGTGGGAGAGAGTAGACCTCATGCATGCTCAATTAACCGTTTTGGGCACAGCTCTCTATACTGCCGTCACAGGTATCTTCCGAGGCCAAAGCGGCGCATCAGGATACGGGCTCCACGTCGGCAACGCAGCGTTGAGAAAACTGTGCAATAGACTGAGCGCAGAACAGTTCCAGTACATAATCCCCTACCCCTGGAAAATCATACCTCGATCGGGACTAACAAGCTAAAAAAAAAAAAAAAAAGATACATGAATGGCCCCACAAGGTCCGTCTACGAGACAGCCCTACAGAAAAAGGGACTCCAACCCGAGACAGTCCCTCTCAACCATGGTGCACAAGGCCACTGGATCGGAAACAAGAATGCCAAAAATGTGGTCATTTATTACCATGGTATATTACATTTACTATCTTTCGTACCCTTGTATTGTAACACAACAGCATGTCTAAGCTATGCTATGCTACCCCCAGAAGAAATCGGTATATGAAAGGGAAGTAGTAGTACACTGCTAATGCACCCAAACAGGCGGCGGATTCGCCGTGCCCTGCGCAGCGGGCCATATTTCCTTCTACGGCGACTTGGTCAACACCTTCAACGCAGAAGGCCACGACGTAGCCTTCTTCATCATAACGTACAGCCTCACCCCGCACGCCGTCTACCCAACTCAGCTCCGGCAGGCTGTGGAAGCCCTCCGCTACATCCTCACCGAGACAAACCGTGACCCGGCCAGCGTGGTTGTCGCCGGCGACTCCGCAGGTGGAAACCTAGCCCTAGCCGTCCTCCTGCATCTGTCACACCCGCATCCAGATATCGAGCCTCTGTGCGACGTAGCGCCCTTGGCGGGGTTGTTTGCCTTCGCACCGTGGGTGAGTTTCGTCTATGAGGGCACCTCCATGCAGGAGAATCAGTATAAGGATATGATTGGGCGGGAGATTTTGGACCGGTGGTCGCGCATGTATTTGGGCGCGGATGGGAAGAAGGGCGATGCGTGGAGTGAGCCTAATCGGGCACCGATTGAATGGTGGAGGAACGCGAAGGTGAAGGATGTCTTGATTTTGGCAGGGAGGGATGAGATCTTGTTCGATCCGATTGATGCCTTTGTGAAGAAGTTCCAGGTAAACATTCTTTTTTTCCTTTGTTTTTCCGGGTGGCATTTTCTCGGTTCGTGGGGATAGGGGATCTTGATTGCTAACGGGGTCGGGATTCGGGTTAGTCGGTTGTACCGAACACGACATATCTGGTAGGGCATGGGGAGACTCATGTTGCACCGGTTTACAGCGCTGGTTTTATTGGAAAGGAGACCCAGCAGGGGAACGGATTGAAGGAGTGGTTGCGGTCTCGTCTCTAGGGCGTTAGCTGAGCAGCCATCATCCTGGTATCTATATACATTTGAATATCTAGCCTCGTAGATCTGCGAGTCAGAAGCGGGAGGGAAACACTCAGAGCGCATGCACTACACCAAACATGTTTGAGTATTAATGTCTATCATGAAATCAGATTTCCACAACTGGGACGATAGCAAATGGAATAAAGGCAATCGCCGATAATACCTGGCACAATAAAATAGCTACGCCGTCGTATAAATCATCAAAGTAACAAAACACCGGATCGCACAAGGCGCATGAAGAAGAAAGTGAAAATCGAGTATGGGAGAGAGAAAAATAGGGTGGGGAGAGGCAAAGGGGGATCTAAGAGGACACTCTCGGCGCATACTTCGCGGCAGCGGTATCGAAGAACGCACTCTTCTCTTGAATATCAGCCAACAGGGCATGCGACGACTGCGCGTTCTGTAGACGTCTGTGACCAAAGATATTTCCGTTAGCTAGATTCAAGACATCGCAGCAAAAGCCCAAAGAGCAATGTGATACGTACGACTCCAGCTCCTCAGTCGGCTTGCCGACCAACACATTCAGCACGATGCTGTTGGCAATGAGCTCCGCATCCTCGGGATACTTCTCAAGAGCTGCCGTCAATGCAGCTTCAGCTTCTGGCAACCGGCCGAGGTGGATTTCAGCCACGGCCTGGCCAACAATGGAGAGCGGGGCAGATGTACTGGGGCCAGCGGCGAGTTCTTCATAGACGTAGAAAGCAGACTGGTACTTTTCGCCGCCCTAGAGATAGATAGAACCAACCCGTTAGCTACCATCTCTTGAAAGAAACAATACCAAAGTAATGTGAATACATACAACTCTCAAACCAACCCACGACTCGGCCAAATTAACAAGCAGGGAATCTTGAGCCCAGCGCTTGGCAGTCTGCACCTCCTTCAAGGCGAGATCGGAGCGATTCTGCTGTAGATGGATCTGAACGGTTAATGCAACACTATCATATCCCAAAAAGCCATGAAATTAGCATTCTCCTCCAACCAGAGACTAAAGCGACATCAAACATACGCTTCCAGATTGCCTTGGTGCTTCGCCAACAAAGCGAGAGCCTCCTCGCTCAATCCCTGCGCCTGCAGCACCGTTCCACCTAGGACCTGTACAGTACCATTATCGGGGTAGTTCTCCGCCAGATCTTGTGCAAGCTTCAGGGCAGACTCGCTGTCGCCGGCCGTTTGCTGCGCCAATGCCTTCGCTGCCGCAAGGTCGGGGGTGTCTTCGCCGTCAACGTCCGCGAGAACCTGGTCAGTCTGTCCCAAGGCAATTTTAGCGCGAAGCTGTAGAACGCGAGCAGGAAGGTGGTTTTCAGAGGATAGGGCCGATGTGTCGAAGTCGACCACCTCCTGGTACTGGCCTTGGTGAAAGGCATTGTGAATGTTGATAAGTTCTGTGGGGAGAGGAGTATGAGTTGGAAGGCACTTTACTCATTTTTAGGGTGTACAATCGCGAAACACTTACCACCTTCTGCCGAGAATGGATCCATGGCGTAGTATAATTGCAAAAAGAATTGCCACTTGTATTTATTTACTGTGTGTCGTATACAGCGTATGGTTGATGGAACGGAAGGCGGAGGCCGAAAGTCGTCACGTTGCCTTTCCGAGGGCGGTGACGGTATCAGTCAATCAACTTATCATTTACCGCAGCCCAGCATTCGCCCTACTAGTACATACTACGGAGTAAATGCCTCACATGATAAATATCTAACCCTTCGGGCAATAAGAAGGCCTGCCTTACAAGGGAAAAGAAAAAGACTGGAAAATGTAATACCTGCACATAGGCCCGGAATAAAATGAGCGTTCCAGCGCACGTTTAATATTAAAACAAGAATATGAAACGTAAAAATAGACATGACCTCGCCTCATGTCGGAGATTCATCTAGAACCCTCAGATCAATGGAACAGGATTGAGCAAGTACATCGCTCCATCAAAAGTGTTGACTTTAATCCACGCTCTCATACATGTAATCCCTCCCAATTGTGACCAATGATGCAACCATTCCCTGCGGACTCCTTGAATGCTGCCATCCTATCCGATGATTATAACGTGTGAAATGCTACCCTAACCCCAAACCCTGAAGACAAATAAATCAAGAACTATGATGGGCAAGATTCGCTGCAAACAAAAGAAGAAAAAACAACATCATGAGAAGTAAAATAAGTGCACAGCCATGCAACACACAACGGAAGAGCACAAGCAGAGGGTATCGCTAGATAGAACAAACGTAATCCAATCGCAAATGGAACTGAAGACAAAGACAAAGGAAGATATCAAGGAGCGCCGTACCTCACTCGCAATGCAGCCATACATCGCCCTTTAATAACACAGAGTAGAGACAAACAAGTAGATGACGGTTTCTCCTTTAGGCCCTCCAGTGACCTCAGCAACCGTACTGCGCCAAAGCCCCCGAAAGTAAGTGCCAAAGGAAAAGCCCGGAAAAGGACACAATAGATGCAATGAAAGTTTGAAGAACGCCGCTCCGTTTATTTGCACATGTTATTGAGATTGACGAAGCCATAGATGAGGAGTCGCGTGGGAAAAGAAGCGGAAATAGAAAAGTGAAACTGGTGTCCTGGTAGCACGCCACAGCTGAAAACGCTCCTTGCTAGGCTTCAAGGATGTAATGATGAAGTGGACGCTGCAGAAACCGTTGGTGTCAGATCTGGAGAACTATCCTTATCTTCTGGGCTTGTTGCCAAGTCATTACCCTTCTCGCGCTCCGTAGACGACGTGCGCTTGAAGACGGTCTGGCCGATTTGTCGAAGAATACCCATCCGCTCAGCTCTCAATTCTTCTGCATCAAGCCGCTGAACAGATACCGGATCTTCTTTGGTGATCTTGCAGAATAAGGTCGAGAACAGATATTGGTCTCCGCCGCCATCATACAGGGGCAAGTAGCGATATCCTTGGGACAAGCTGCTAAGTTTCGCAGTGAACGTGGCAAGTTGGACACTGCTATTACTTCCTGCACTGCGCCCATCCTGAGAGCTCCAGATAGTCCAGCGAACGAATACCAAATCAGGATACTTAGTCTCCAACGACAACCTGAAGCGATCATTGAAGATTGGGCTATATCCATTGCTCTGCTCGATCTTCGTGCGCCGACGGTGCGGAAATCCGATGCCCGACATGCCATTACGGGCGGATGCGTTCATACCACCCTCGCCATAAACGAAGCTCTGGCCACGATCGTCTGCGCTAAACATTTCGATCTCCACGTAAGGGTTGATATTATCATCGGGTCCAATGCTGCGAGGGCGAGGAAGTTGTTGGGCAGAGATAACGTCCACTGAGAATCGAACAAGCTTCCACTCTGTAGTCTTCGTTTTCTCTTCGTCGGCTGGACTCAAGGCGCGAAGAGACTCGGGTTTTAGCACGTAACCCGTTCGATCGCTCCCAGCCGCAAACATAGCCTGGTTCATCTGCATGCCAATGTCGTATGTTTGCCAGTTCAAGGCCGCCATCTGAACGCCGCGTCGCCAAAATTTAAGGGGGTCGAAGTTCGAAGATCTCAAACGGAAGCCGGATGGATAGACCCGAGTCAGATATTTTCGGTTGTGCTTTTCGAAGAGAACCTTGTTTTCAGCATCACGGCAGATACCCTCAAATGATCTTTCGGCGAAGGAGTAAACATGATTATACCGTTGACTTTCAGCGGATGAGAAGCTGTGCCATTTGTACCCTCGGGTATAGACGCCTAGATCTGACAAGGGTCTGGTGATCTTACTCTTCTGGCGCCTTTTCTTTTCTTTCCTGATGGTCGCCAATGCGCCGTCACTTTCCTCCGTGGCACTGCTGATGCTGGTGGTTGTGAAAGAGCGTCTATCTTGGGTCAAAAATGAGCCAACGGTTTCCAGTCCAAGCGTCGGAGGGCTCGACAGAGGGGGCAGACTGGTGAGTGCTGGGCTTTCTGATGCCGTCGGGCGTATAAAGGGAGAACTTGCGCTGCGCTTACGGCCGTGGACGGCGAATGTGCCGACGGGCTCCTGTCGTACACCCTCTTGGAGCTCGTCACAAGTCTTTACCTTGACAAGAATGCGCCCCTTCAGCTCTTCAGGCGAGGGAAGGACAAAACTGTTTGTTAACAGTGGCTCCAGGACGAGCTGATCTTTGAACGTATCCTTCATGATTTTGACCATTGCCAGTTGCTGCTCCGGATTACAGTGTACTTCGAGAGACAGGATGAGAGGGAAATCGGTAGTAATGAATGCGTAGCGATTAATGACGGTAATACAGTCGGCAAACAGAACACTCGTGGTCATAGTTCTTCCATGGGACACAATTGGTCGGCCATCAGCCCCATCCCAACAGTCGATCTCTACACAACGGCAGCCTTTTTGCAAAGCACTTATGTATGCCTCTGTACTGGACGCTCCCGCGACCTGGCGGCCTAAAAGATACGTATTGTGGGAACTCGAGATAAAGTATTCGTTCAGGGGGCGGTCGAATCGCGACTGGGGAGCACGGGAGGCGTATAATCCGTTCCATGGAGACGCAAGGAAAGAGGAAAATGCATCAAGGTCCATTCGAGGGACTTGCTCCTCCTCAAACTCTGGGATGCTTGGGACCCGCGATTTAGACTTCCGTACACATTTGTCGAAAACTGAGACCCAATAACTTCGATCTGAGTCAACGTCCTCATTTTGGATGTTTCGGAGGAATGTCAAAAATTCATCAATGCTTAGGCCAGCTTTGGCATCCGTGGCGCTATCTTTGAAGATCTCCTTGACGTCTTTTCGCTCTTTCAAGCGAGCAACAAAATTCTGGAATTGTGAAAAGTTCAACTTGCCGTTAACATCAGAATCAGCTTTGGAGAATTGAGCGCGAAGCATGTTCTTAGAGCAATTGATATGTAAACTGCGACAAATGCTCTCCACGGCTCCAAAATCAAGACTCCCCTGCTCAGCCGACCTGGGCCCGTGAGGGAACAATCTCGACATCTCACGCTGCCAATGCGCCTTCAGGACTGCCTCACTCTGACCGGAACCAGCCAGGCCAGCCATGAGGCCTATCCTATATCGGGAGATATGTTCTAGAGTCGTAGTCCAAAGTTCCAGGATGTAATCATTGGGAGCAATA